TGATGCTAGCCTGCAGCACTGAGATTGCACCTGATTCAGAATGGCCTTTAGAGGACATTGCTCTCCTTGGTTATCCCTCCCACCAAAATGTTGGAAGGTGGTTAGAAAAAAAAAACACACTGATACCAGACGCTTCTCAGCAAATGAAACATCAAATCTCAACAAATTCTTTCAACTTCCTGCAAGCCAGGAGGCTGCCTATATAAATGGTCCTCTGTTTTTACACCAAGCCAAGGTATAAAGTGGTTATTCCAGAATTTTTTTCATTCTTTTCTTGTATCAAATGACTAAGCCAGAGGCATCCTGGGAGCCGAGTGATGGACTGGCACATATTAGTATCAGCAGGTCCATCTCAGGTGCCCCGCTCGCATGATGCCTCTGGCATAGTCATATAAAACAAGAACAACATGTAAAGTTTCAGAAATAACACATTTATACCTTGTTTGATGTAAAAAAAACACAGAGAACCATTTATAAACATACTTTCTATTGGTTGAACTCAGTGGACTTGTATGTCTTGTATGACTTGTAACTATGTGACCCCGTCATCGAATATACAGGAGATGCCATTGCTGACCTTCTTATGGAAATGCTAGATCCCTGGCTATGATATTGAGCTGCCAGCTTGAACCATTTCACTGCCACAGTTATTTTTGCATTTTTTTTAACACATTTTTTAAAAAATAATTTTAGGCCTGAAGATTACATAAACCCCCCAAAACATTATGTATTTTCTGAAAGCAGACACCCAAGAGAATAAAAAAAGTGGTTACCTTGAATCTGTATATTGTACTTTTGTATGAGTTCAATAAACGCAACTGTTAAAAAAAAAATAGTGGTAGATCCAATTTTTTGTCACACAATATTGCTGCAAAGTGTAGGAAATGCAAAATTTCAGTAAAAAACACAGTGATTTTTTCAGCAAACACAATAAATTACCCAAATTTTGGTAAAATATATAAAAGACCAGGTTGCTCCAAGTAATTAGATACCCAATATGTCAAACCTTAAATTTGTGTGCGGCCAAGAAATGGCGAAAACGTTAGTTCCCTATATTTTCTATAGGCGACACTTCAAAGGCCCCCTTTAGATTATCAGTTTAGCGTTACGGAGGAGGTCTGGTGGTAGAATTATTGCTCTCACTTCAGCGTGCATGTGTATCACAATTGATGTTTTCATGCGTAGACATCCCCGACGTGTGCGTTTACATTCATATGTGTGAATATGTGGGGGTACCTCAAATTTTTTTTTGGGGGGGGGGGCATTTTATGTGCTTGGGCGTAAATTTAATTTTTTGCAATTACATTTTTTTTTTCTTTTTACTTTACTTAAAGCAGAATTTCAGCTGAAAAAAAAAAAATAAAAGTCAGCAGCTACAAAAACTGTAGCTGCTGACTTTTAAAATACGACCACTTACCTGTCCCTCGGTCCTGCGGTGTCCTCACCATCGCTGGTTTCACCGGCCGTCTTCTCTACCTGGCGCCGGCACCTTTAGTGTGGGCACCCAGCTGTGACAGCTTGCGACTTTACAGCCGGGTGCCCACTGAGCATGCGACAGAAGCGCTGCCCTTTGTGAATGGCCCTGTAGCCTTCTGGGACCTGTCACGTGTCCCAGAAGACTACAGGGAGGGAAGGGGGGGGACAACTTCCGCTTCGGATCGCCTAGGCGGTCGCAGCAGAAGTGGGAGTGGATACCTGTCAAATTCGGGTACCCACTTCCCCCCCGCTCCCCAAAGGTGCCAATCCTTAATGAGGAGCGGTGGACAAAGCATTAAAGCGGAACTTCCCCTTTTGGCTGGAGCTCCGCTTTAACTTTTTTTCTCATTACATAGAGCAGTGCTTCTCAACTTTTGTTAGTCAAGGCACCCTTTAAAATTCTGCACAATCTCGAGGCACCCTTTGAAATTCTGCACAATCTTAAGGCACCAATTACAAACTGTAAAAAACTAAACTAATAGTTTTACAAAACACAGCAACAGGTCTTCCATAAAGGATCTGTTTGTGGACAACCACTACTCAGCCATGCCGGCTACGGCACTCTTCCTGGACTTCATATATATTTCATATGCTGAAAGATCACTTATTGGACTATTGCAAGAAAGATGAATGACTGCACCATGGAAGAGGACAGTGATGGAAAAACAGAGAGGAGGCTGCAAGAAGAGGAGGCCAAAGGAGGAAGAGGAAATGACTGGATGGACAAGAGGAGGCAAAAAGGAGGAGGAGAAAAAGGAATATCAAAGATAACAGAATCAGGAAAACATTTCAAGAAGATGCTGGGGAAAGATGAGAAAGAGGAAGAAAAAGAAGATGCTGAAAGAATGAAGAAAGCAGGGAAAACATTTATGAGGAAGAAGGATCTGTTATTACAGAGAAGGCAGTAGAAAAAAGGAGAGTGACGGCTGATAGAGAGGAAGACGAAGCTGAGAGAAAGGAGGGTGACAGCTGATGGGAAGAGGATGGTGAAGTCTAATAGCATGGGAACGCTGAGAGTAAGCAAAGTGAGAGTTGACAAGAAGAGGCTTGGAGTAAGCAGTGTAAGAGCTTACAAGAGGAGAATGGTGAAGGCTGATGGCAAAAGGAGGAAAGGAGGGTAATAACTTCATGAAATAGAGACTGAGCGTAACCAGCGTGACAGAGATCAGGAAGAAGGGGTGAAGGCTGATAGCAAGAGGAGGCTGAGAGTAAGCAGTGTGAGAACTTACAGAAATAAATTGCTGGAGGCTGACTGCAAGAAGAGTTTAAGAGTAACTAGGGTGACAGCTGACAGGAAGAACCTGCGACTAAGTCAGGTGAGAGCTGACGGGAAAAGGAAGGTGATGGCTGACAGCAAGCAGGGTGAGTTGACAATAAGAGGATGGTGAAGACTGATAGCAAGATGATGAAGAGAGTAAGCAGGGTGACAGATGGCAGGAAGAGGCAGAGAGTAAGCAGAGTGACAGCTGACAGAAAGAGGCAGAGAGTAAGCAGGGTGACAGCTGACAGGAAGAAGCAGAGCGTAAGCAGAGTGACAGCTGACAGGAAGAGGCAGACAGTAACCAGGGTGAGAGCTGACAGGAAGAGGCAGAGAGTAAGCAGGATGACAGCTGATAGGAAGAGGCAGAGAGTAAGCAGGGTGACAGCTGACAGGAAGAGGCAGAGAGTAAGCAGGGTGACAGCTGACAGGAAGAGGCAGAGAGTAAGCAAGGTGAGAGCAAAAAGGAAGTATAGGATAACAGCTTGCAGGAGGAGGAGGAGGTTGACAGTAACTAGGGTGAGAGCTGACAACAAGAGGATGCTGAAAGCTGATAGCAAGAAAAGGCTGAGAATAAGCAGAGTGACAGCTGACAGAAGATTACTATCTGTGGTCTGTGTGTTAATGTGATGTCAATGGGCTTTTGCTTGATAGTTGGTGATTTGAATGTATAATGTCCATGTTCTTCTCTGTAATCCAACAGGAAAGGCCTTGTAGAAGCACTGGTTCACCACTCTGCCCATCCAAGTCTGTATTGTACCTAGCGGGACAGGAAGGATGATAACATGGTATGCAGGGGGTGGAGACATGGCTACATGTCAATGCAGGCTCAACACTGGTGTCCCCAAGAATGCAATATTATGGAGATTATTCTGGTAAAAATCTGCCAGCCAAATATGACTTCATGATGTCTGAAGCTGAAAAAATGTAAGTCGTGGCTGTAGGGTTGTGGTCAGTAGTTCTGCTGTCTGTAGCACCTGCTGGGAGTTGTAGTGAAACTAGAAACTGTGTTGGTTGCCCCTCTCCATTTTAAGCAATGGTGGTAGAGTAAGGGAGCTGAAGCTGAAGCTGGGGGGGGGGGGGGGGGGCAGCAGTCCTGAGTTTTGTTCATGAGGTCTTGTGGGTCCTTCACATCAGGTTCCTGTGCTTTAGTTAGGGGGTCAAGCAGGCCCTTCAAATCAGGCTTTTGGGCTATAGACAGCAGTCCTGGTAGGGCCCTCGTATTAGGTTCTGGGTTGTAGTCAGGGGTTCAGTGGGCCCTTTACATCAAGTTCCTTGGTTGCAGTTAGGGGACCTGGCAGTTCTTTCTCATAAAGCTCCTGGGTTGTAGTCAGCTGGTATGGTGAGCCCTTCACATCAGGTTCTCGGTATAGTCAGGGGGTCTGGTGGGCCCTTCACATCAGGCTCTCGGTATAGTCAGGGGGTCTGGTGGGCCCTTCACATCAGGCTCTCGGTATAGTCAGGGGGTCTGGTGGGCCCTTCACATCAGGCTCTCGGTATAGTCAGGGGGTCTGGTGGGCCCTTCACATCAGGCTCTCGGTATAGTCAGGGGGTCTGGTGGGCCCTTCACATCAGGCTCTCGGTATAGTCAGGGGGTCTGGTGGGCCCTTCACATCAGGCTCTCGGTATAGTCAGGGAGTCTGGTGGGCCCTTCACATCAGGCTCTCGGTATAGTCAGGGGGTCTGGTGGGCCCTTCACATCAGGCTCTCGGTATAGTCAGGGGGTCTGGTGGGCCCTTCATATCAGATTCCTGGGCTGTAGTCAGGGGCCCTCTTGGGGTCCCACCACAATAATATGAAGAAGAGTGTCTCCGCACACAGGCCTGCAAATACAACTCCTTAAAGGGATGCTCCCTGAATTCCTATGTACTGTGACCCTTCCTTCACTGCGTGTCACAGATGGCATGGCTCCTTCCTGCACTGTGTATGGAGGTAGGTATGAGGTAGGTAAATGCCACACTTGTTTGGTCACATGGTCAGTACTTCCCCAGCTAAACTGGTCATGTGACTACAGCCTTGCAGGTGCAGACTCCTCCCTTCTACCCACTGCCTCCACCTCCTCCCTGAAAGCTTCCTCACCATAGCAACAGGCAACCTCCCCACTCTTCCCGTCAGCCCGGAAGAAGACGTCAGCCGGGTTCCTCTCTCTGGTCATTTCGGGGAGAGAGAGATAATACTAGTTGCGGCACTGTCACTGCAAGGAGCCGCTCTGTCCCGCCCTGAGCTGCTCTCTATGGTACCGCTCGCTTCATGAAGGTGTAGCAAGATGGCGGAGACGGAGTGAGTGCTAGTCCTTCATTACTTCCGTATTTACGATAGATAGACGTGTTACTGAGGGGAGGGGGAACCTACTGAGTGGTCTGTCCCCGAGGGGCCCCTGGGTGTCCCCTCTACTGTCATCACTGAGGGGCCCTTGTGTGCCCTCTCTACTGTTACCACTGAGGGGCCCTTGTGTGTCCCCTCTGCTGTCATCACCAAAGGGGGCCCTGTGTGTCTCCTCTACTGTCATCACCAAAGGGGCCCCTGTATGTTTCCTCTACTGTCATCACTGAGGGGGCCCCTATGTGTCCCCTCTACTGTCATCACCAAAGGGCCCCTGTGTGTCCCCTCTATTGTCATCACTGAGGGGCCCCTTTGTGCCCTGTCTACTGTCACCACTGAGGGGCCCTTGTGTGTCCCCTCTACTGTCATCACCAAAGGAGCCCCTGTGTTTCCCCTCAACTGTCATCACTGAGGGGCCCCTATGTGTCCCCTCTACTGTAATCACCAAAGGGGCCACTGTGTGTCCCCTCTACTGTCATCACTGAGGGGCCCCTATGTGTCCCTTCTACTGTCAGCACTGAGGGACTCGTGTGTCCCCTCTACTGTTATCACCAAAGGGGACCCTGTGTGTGGAATCCTGTGTGTGTTGCCAGTATTATCATCACCAAGCGACCATTGTGTCCCCTGTACCATCACTGAGGGGCCCCTGTGTTTTCTTTCATAGTCACTAAGGGGCCCCTGAGTATCTCATGCATTATCACTGAGGGTGCTCTGTGCATCTCCTTTATTATCATTGAGGGCCCCCTATACTCTGAATAATAATTCCTATCATTTTTGTGGGCGGGGTTCTGCTGTGAACTCGAAGAAAAACATGTTGTGCGTTAACCCCTAAAAAACATTCATGTGGAGAGTCCTATGTGTGATGGCTTGTGATTGGTTGTTGTATATCCTGCACACTCCCGGCTGGGCCTATTAGGATGATGTGGGATAACTGCAGGTCACATGTTCTGATTGTTGATAGACGTGATTTTGGTTTTATTCCAGGATGCGGAATGACAGCCATGGAGACTACAACATCACTCTGCTCACCACACCTGCCATGTCCACACGGCTCGTTCTACAGACCCCGGCTAAGCCCATCATCCCGGTCCAGACTGGAGTCCAGGCCCTGCAGGAGGAGCAATCCAGCGGGATGTCCATCTTCTTCAGCCTGCTGGTCCTAGGTGAGGGGTTAGCGGTGTCATCTGCTGCACAGAAAGCTGAATGACCTCTCTGAGGTCACGGGTCAGCAATATTTTGTTCAGTCATCCTCCAAACAGTAATCTTCAGCCAGCCATCATGAAACACACTGACCAGGGAAATAGGTACAACATGCCTGCATTTGGCACTCACACAGAGACCAGCTTAATAAAAGCATGTATTGGTAGAAACATGTCATGATTGTAAACAGGATGGTTGGATACTGAATTGTGGGCCATGGGGTGGTTAAATACAGCATGGCGGGACAATGGGTGGTTGGACATAAAGTGATATGATGAGGTATAGCTGACAATTGGGTGATTGTACATGGAATGATGGGACATGGAATGGTGGAACAGAGTGGTTAGGCTTGGGAGGGTAGGACAGAGGATAGTTGGACAAGCAGTGGTTGAACAATAGATGGCGAAAGATGGGATGGTGGTAAATAGGTAGTTTAGACACAAGATGGTGGGGCCAGGGTAGTTGGACACAGATGATGGGGCATCTGTAGTTGGACATGGGATGGTGGGGAATAGATATTTGGGCATGGGATGGTGGGTCATGGGGTAGTTGGACACAAGATCATGGGATAGTTGGACATAGGATGGTGGGGGATAGGCAGTTGGACGTGTGTGATCGTGGGGATATAGGTAGTTTGACATGGAATGGTGGAGCATAGGATTGTTGGACATGGAATGGTGCAGCATAGGTAGTTGGACTTGGGATGGTGGGGCATAGGTAGTTGGACATGGGATGGTGGGGCAAAGGATTGTTGGACATAGGATGGTGCAGCATAGGTAGTTGGACATGGGATGGTGGGGCAAAGGATTGTTGGACATAGGATGGTGCAGCATAGGTAGTTGGACATGGGATGGTGCAGCATAGGTAGTTGGACATGGGATGGTGGGGCATAGGGAGTTGGACATAGGATGGTGGGATATTGGTGGTTGGATAAGGCTTAATTGACCATGGGGTGGTTGAACATAGATGATAGGACATAGAGGGGCATGCTCTGGTCAGCAATATTTAGTTCAGTCATCATCCAAACAGTAATCTTCAGTCAGCCATCATGAAACACACTGACCAGGGAAATAGGTACAACTTGCCTGCATTTAGCTCTCACACAGAGACCAGCTAAACAAAAGCATGTGTTGGTAGAACATGTCATGGTTGTAAACAGGATGGTTGAATACAGAATGGTGGGCCATGGGGTGGCTAAATACAGCATGGCAGGACAATGGGTGGTTGGACATGAAGTGATATGACGTGGTATGATTGACAATGGGGTGATTGGACGTGGAATGATGGGACATATAATGGTGGTTAGGCTTGGGAGGGTGGGACGTAGGATAGTTGGACAAGCAGCGGTTGAACAATAGATGGCATCCTCTGGTCAGTAATATTTTGTTCAGTCATCCTCCATCATGAGATTGCTGCCCTGAAACAGTGACCAGGGAAACTAGTACAACATATCTTACTTGTGGGAAAGACCACAAAAAGGTTGGTTAATCCTGAGGATTACAGAGCGTCCATTTATTATTATTTAAAAGAATATTAACATATTTTAAATATCAAATCGATGGGCATACCAAAGAGCGGCAGTAAAATCCTCCTTTTTGTTAATCCATTCACAGGTATAAAAATTCACAGAAAAGTTGACGCGTTTCTGTCCAAAAGGGCCTTAGGGAAAATTGCATCAACTTTTCTGTGAGCTTTTATCCATGTGGATGAATTAATAAAAAGAGGATTTTACTGCAGCTATCTGATAGGAAGAAAAAAGCAACCGAATGCCTGAGCTCCTGCGCTGGACGATGGACTCCACAATGTGAATATCCCCACATGTGTATGAAGGGAATGCAAGCCTTGCTGCTCTCAATGGACCAGAGAAATCCAAAGAGAACTATATATGAAAAGACAAAAAAGAGGGCACATGGGCCTAGTGCATTACCTATAAAAATGAGATTTATTGATAAAAAGTAAAATACAAGAGAAATAAAAGCAAATGGAAAGCATGTCACAAGAGATGCAGTGGTGTCCAAGGCCCCTGAAGGTGGTCTGGTGGAGGACTGTAGACCTCAGGATAGATGATGGCTGACACGTTTCGAGGTTGTATCTCTTCCTCAGAAATGCATCAGCTATCCTGAGGTCTACACTCAAATGAAAAGCATGTCACAAGAGATACAGTGGGGTCCAAGACCCCTGAAGGTGGTCTGGTGGGGGACTGTAGACCTCAGGATAGCTGATGGCTGACACGTTTCGAGGTTGTATCTTTTCCTCAGAAACACATCAGCTATCCTGAGGTCTACACTCAAATGGAAAGCATGTCGCAAGAGATGCAGTGGGGTCCAAGACCCCTGAAGGTGGTCTGGTGGGGGACTGTAGACCTCAGGATAGCTGATGGCTGACACGTTTTGAGGTTGTATCTCTTCCTCAGAAATGCATCGGCTATCCTGAGGTCTACACTCAAATGGAAAGCATGTCACAAGAGATGCAGTGGGGTCCAAGACCCCTGAAGGTGGTCTGGTGGGGAACTGTAGACCTCAGGATTACTGATGCGTTTCGAGGTTTTACCTCTTCCTCAGAAAATGCGTCAGCCATCAGCTATTTTGAGGTCTACAGTCCCCCACCAGACCACCTTCAGGGGTCTTGGACCACACTGCATCTCTTGTGACATGCTTTCCATTTGACTGTAGACCTCAGGATAGCTGATGGCTGACGCGTTTCTGTGGAAGAGGTACAACCTCGAAATGCGTCAGTCATCAGCTATCCTGAGGACTACAGTCCCCCACCAGACCACCTTCAGGGGTCTTGAACCACCCTGCATCTCTTGTGACATGCTTTGCATTTGATTTTATTTCTCTTGTGAGTATTTTACTTTTTATCAATACATCTCACTTTTAAAGGTAATGCACTAGGCCCGTGCGCCCTCTTTTTGTCTTTTCATATGCAGCTATCTGATGTACCGGTCGATTTGTACGGACTCAAGAATATACACCTTCACCTTTACCTAAAACCAAAATGACAACATTGTCATCTAATATCATGACGTTCCCTTTCACACCACCGCATTCATTCTTGGAATAGCAAAGCAAACTCTCTCACCCTGCAGGAGATAATCAAACTTTGTGGAAGGTTTGAAAAACTTAAAAGACTAGCTTCTGGATAGAAGCCAGACAAAAGGGGTGGGGATAAAACTTTATTAATATAATAACACCAGGGATTAAAAGCTGAATCAATTAAATCTCAGCAAACAGGCTGGTATAAAATGTATATGTGCAAATTATGTTGTCTCAGCAAAAGCTGACAAAAATAAAAGTGAAAATATATATAAATATAATTGCAAAAAGAACGCGGAGGGGGGGGGGGTTACCCATTATCAAAAATGGATAAAACAGTCCCAAAAATAAAACTAATGATGCCTGTCTAAGAAAAGACTATAAAAAATGTAAAACATATAATAATGTGTATATAAATAGAAAATGATGATAGAATCAAATACACAGATGTTCTTTAATGCTTTCCACATTGATTATGTATCATATGTAATTTTGCTATCAGTCTATCATATTGCAATTCTGTTATCCTGCCCAATTATGGGTAAAACGCATTGACGTCACGGTGACGTCACAACGCTCCCCCGCCCACAGGAAAAGCCTATGTGTGCATGGACACATAGGATAACATACAGTAAAAAATACACCTGACGCCCCTAGCAGTAGCTTCGAAAATGCCCAGTGTGAATGATGCCTGTGTTGCTGCCTCTAAAATCTTACATGCTGCAATTGTGCCAAATTGTATTTAACAGCTTGTCTCTTGTGGATTGAGAACATTACCAAGCGTAAGAGCTGCATAACAGCTTGTACTGTTGATTATAATGAACTTGGTACAGTCTGGCTATATGTGAGTCAACACGTGGAACTGATTAGGTGTACGATACCCTTTATGCTGCAACTGTGCTTTTCCCATGCTTGACTGCTTGTTAAAGGTGATAATCTCATTCCTGCAGAGCGCTGATTCAAAAGATGGCTTGATTGCTTGTTATAGGCAACTATTTCATTTGTTTGCAGAGCGCTGATTCAGAAGTTGGCGTGGATATACCAACACTAAAAAAGGTTGAACCTCTCTAATATATGCCATAAATAAAAAGAATTTCTCTTGTTAGACCTGGTGAACAGGGTCCACCGACTAATATATAATAAAACCATACTGGGAAAAAATTTGGTGGACTTATACACTCACCAGCCACTTTATTAGGTCCACCTGTTCAATTGCTTGGTAATACAAATTATTAATGAGCCAATCACATGGCTGCAACCCAATGCATTTAGGCATCTAGACGTGGTGAAGATGACTTGCTGAAGTTCAAATTGATCATCAGAATGGGGAAAAAATGGGATTTAGATGACTTTGAACTTGGCATGGTTGTTGGTGCCGGACGGTCTGTTCTGAGTATTTCAAAAAGAAGGGTTTACAGAGAATGGTCCGAAAAACAGAAAATATCAAGTGAGCGGCAGTTGTGATGAAAATGCCTTGTTGATGTCAGAGGAGAATGGGCAGACTGAATGAGATGATAGAAAGGCAACAGTAACTCAATTAACCACTTGTTACAACCAAGGTATGCAGAATACCATCTCTGAACGCACAACACATCGAACCTTGCATTTGGCACTAACACAGAGACCAGCTTAATAAAAGCATGTGTTGGTAGAACATGTCATGATTGTGAACAGCATGGTTGGATACAGAATGGTGGGCCATGGGGTGGTTAAATATAGCATGGCAGGACAATGGGTGGTTGGACATAAAGTGATATGATGTGATATGGCTGACAATGGGATAATTGGACATGGAATGGTGGAACAGAGTGGTTAGGCTTGGGAGGGTAGGAGAGAGGATAGTTGGACAAGCAATGGTTGAACAATAGATGGTGAAAGATGGGATGGTGGTAAATAGGGAGTTTGGACATGGGATGATGGGCCATGGGGTTATTGGACACAAGAGGGTGGGGGATAGGGTAGTTGGACAGGGATGATGGGGCATAGGTAGTTGGACGTGGGATGGTGGGGAATAGGTATTTGGGCATGGGATGGTGGATCATGTGGTAGTTAGACACAAGATCGTGGGACAGTTGGACATAGGATGGTGGGGGATAGGTAATTTTACGTGTGATCGTGGGGCTATAGGTAGTTGGACATGGAATGGTGGAGCATAGGATTGTTGGACATGGAATGGTGCAGCATAGGTAGTTGGACTTGGGATGGTGGGGCATATGATTGTTGGACATAGGATGGTGCAGCATAGGTAGTTGGACTTGGGATGATGGGGCATAGGATTGTTGGACATGGAATGGTGCAGCATAGGTAGTTGGACTTGGAATGGTGGGGCATATGATTGTTGGACATGGGATGGTGCAGCATAGGTAGTTGGACTTGGGATGGTGGGGCATAGGATTGTTGGACATGGGATGGTGCAGCATAGGTAGTTGGACTTGGGATGGTGGGGCATAGGATTGTTGGACATAGGATGGTGGGACATTGTTGGTTGGATAAGGCTTAATTGACCATGGGGTGGTTGAACATGGATGATAGGACATAGCGTGATTAAACACAGGATGTTTGGACGTGGAATCATGGATCATAAAGTGGTTGGATGAGCAATGCTGAGACATGAAGTGGTTGGACAAGGGTCAGGAAAGGATGGCTAAACATGGGGTGGTAGAACCTGCTCAGTCAGCCAATGTGACGTATATAGTGCGTGTCTCAGTATGAGATCTCAAACTTCCTCATTTGTAAATGGCAAACAAGTTAGCAGCATCATTTCTATACAGCAGAAGCCTTGTTGAAGTGTGTGGAAAAATGTACAAATGGAAATGTGTTCATTCCTCTCTGCTGGTCACTTGAAAACTTGCCTGAGGATTGTGCACATGTGGAGGTGGGGTTTTTTACATAATTCCGTATGTTGAGAGCCCTTTGTCTGCAGAAGATTGTATCAGGAACTGTAAATCCACTGGCAGGACAAATGATGATCCCATTGCATTCTCTGAGGGCAACAGAAGAAAAAGCTGGAAAGTTTATCACACTGAGTGACAGGAGAGAGCTGCAGTATGGGAACTGCCATCTCTTTTATTTTCTGAGCTGTGGTAGGCTGAGGAGCAGGGGCAGTCATGGTTATATTGATCATGTGACCAGTTGAAGAATAAATGGCTCTTAGCTGAAGTTGTGTCAATCACAAATGAGAATTTCGGATGTCCTCTGCTGGAAGAGTCATCCATCTGATAGATGTATCTCAGATGGTTTCATTATGGTCATGGGATGCTGAGCTTCCTGAATGTGGACTATTGTTCATCTTCTGTCCCTCCCCTCCCCCACAGAGTGTACATGACTGCTCTGGTCACCTGATCCCCGGGTGCCAGTCATAAGTCATATGGCCGAACAGTACCTCCTTTCAGATCTGTTGAGTGATTACTAAGCCCTCTGTACAGCATGAGCTGAGGACTAATGTGCAATCATCTCCCTGCTGTATTTCTCCGGAGGTCATATAACTCTGCACTTCAATCTATTTCTCCCAGTTTGTACAGAGTGTTTCCTATTAGTTACATAGAGGGAAAGGACTTATACTTCAGGGGTTTTTTTAGGTCTGCACTTTGTCCAATTCCCCCATCATTCTCCTGCATTACTATTTATTACAGGTACTTCTATAGCGCCATCAATTTGTGCAGCACTTTACATATATATTGTAGATTCACATCAGTCCCTAATCCTCAAGGGTTGTACAATCTAAGGTCCCTAACTCACATTCATACATACACATACTAGGGACAATTTAGACAGGAGACAATTAACCTACCAGCATGTCTTTGGAGTGTGGGAGGAAACCGGAGTACCCGGAGGAAACCCACGCAGGTACAGGGAGAACATGCAAACTCCAGGCAGGTGGTGCCGTGGTTGGGATTCGAACTGGCGACCCGAGTACTGCCAGGCGGAAGTGCTAACCTCTTAGCCACTGTGCTGCCCATACTGTACTTCATATGTCCTGAGCCCGCAGTATATATACTCCGGAGTCATATAGATTTGCACTTCACTTGATTCCCCTTATTATACAGAGTATTTCCTATTAGTCAGAGATAGTAAAGGACCCCTGCTATCAGCACATAAAACCTCAGAGGTCTTTTAAAATATGCCCCCCCCCCCCATCCTATGTCCAACTACAACATGGCCTACTATCCCATGTCCAATCACCCCCTCACCACCCCCCCCCCCCATCCGTCCCCCCCCCCCCCCCCCCCCCCCCCCCCCCCCCTCCTGCGATCATCCATGACCACTGAGAGGTAACGCGAATAATATTGATTATCTAATTAAAATGGCCTCTAAAGATCTGTGGGATGTATTGGGCAGCAAGTAAACATGTTGTCCCTGAAGTTGATGTGTTGAAACCATAGTTATCACAGTTTGTTGTGTACAGGGCTGCGTAGCCTCAGAGCAGTTGGGGTGCCCATGCTGACCCACTTCCACAGCTAAAAGCACCCAGAATGGGCATGTGAGCATCAGAACTGGACCATGGAGCAATGGAAGAAGGTTGCCTGGTCTGATAAATCACGTTTTCTTTTGTAAATGAAAAAAGTGAAAGATTCACCCCTCAATACAGAGCTACATTGTTCCTATGAGTGGCTGATCATTTGAACTGGTGAAAGGACATCAATCTGCACTAGATTCATGTTTTATGCTGTTGATATAAAGAGGCTCATTGGTTGATGGATGAACTTTGTACAAAAGGAGGATTGATTTGCACTTGTTTTGGGACTTTTTTGAGGCTGATATTGATGTTTTAATTCTTCTTTTTAGTTGTTTCACATCTTATCTACTTTTGCGAGCACTGTATTGAGGGGTGATTTTTTTCACTTGTTTAAATTTACTATAGTTGGGGGTGTGATGGCAAATACAGCAGCAACAACACTGGGGAAATTTCAGTTTCTCAGCGCAGATTTTGGGAGGGTCAAAACTACACGTTTTCTTTTACATCATGTGGATTGCCAGGTGTGAGTGGATCACTTACCTGGGGAAGAGATGGCACCAGGATGCAGTATGGGAAGAAGGAAAGCAGGCAGAGGCAGTATGGTACTTTGGGCAATGTTCTGCTAGGAACCTTGGGTCCTACCATTCATGTGGAGGTTACTTTGAGATGTAACACCTACCTAAATATTGTTGCTGAATAAGTACACCCCTTCATGGAAAGAGTATTGCCTGTTGGCAGTGGCCTGTTTCAGCAGGATATTGTGCCTCGCCACACTGCAAAAATGATTCAAGATTGGCTTGAGAAACACAACAACGAGTTTGAGGTGTTGACTTGACCTCCAGATTCTCCAGAACTCAATCCCATCGAGCATCTGTGGAATGGGCTGGAAAAACAAGTCCAATCCATGGACGCCACACTCTAAAACTTACAGGACTTAAAGGATCTTGAGGAACACAACAACGAGTTTGAGGTTTTGACTTGACCTCCAGATTCTCCAGAACTCAATCCCATCAAGCATCTGTGGGATGGGCTGGAAAAACAAGTCCAATCCATGGACGCCACACTCTAAAACTTACAGGACTTAAAGGATCTTCTACTCACAGCTTGGTGGTAGATGCCACTGCATACCTTCAGAGGTCTAGTGGCATCCGTGCCTCAATGTGTCAGGGCTGTTTTGGCTGCAAAGGGGAACCTACTCAATATTAGGTGAGTGATCATAAAGTTATGGCTGATCGCTGTATATCCTAAACCGTCTGTCCTTTTGTAATTATATTCTTATAGTGATTATCATCTCCTCTGTTTTCTGCAGCTATTTGTATTGCTTTGGTCCATTTGCTTATCAAATACCGTCTGCACTTCCTGCCGGAGAGCGTTGCTGTGGTCTCATTAGGTAAGTAATGTCATATGATCTGTGTGTGGGGAGGGTTTCTATGTCACTATGCCTACTACCTTTTCACAGCTGATTTCACGTGTCTTCACAATGCAGGCGGTGTGAGGGTATAATGTATACCTGAAAGCTCACGTGTGTAATGTGTATCCTGATATCAGCTTATTTAAAGCAGAGTTCCACTCACACTGTAAAAAAATAAAATTAGCTACAAAAACTGTAGCTGCTGACTTTTAAAAAAACAGCCACTTATCTGTCCCACGATCCCGCAATGTCCTCCCCGCAGCCTGGCTGTCCTGTGTTCCAGGCGCCGGCATCTTCAGTGTGGGCACCCGGCTGTGACAGCTTGCGGCTTTACAGCCAGTGCCCACTGCGCATGCGTGAGTAGCCCTGCGCTTCCTGAATGGTCCGTTGTTTTCTGGGACCTGTCATATGTCCCAGAAGACTACGCAGAGGGAGGGTAGGAAGACAACTTCCGATTGCCTAGGTGATGTCAGCGGAAGTGGATGCTTGTCAATTTTGGGTACTGGCTCCCCAAAGGTGCCAATCTTTAATGGGGAGCGGGGGACCAGTCTTTAAACTGGAACTTCCCCTTTTGGGTGGAACTCCTTTTTAATTGTACTATATGTATCTTGAGCTCATGTATGTGTGATGTTTATCCCAGGGTGAGGTCATGTGTGTGTGATGTATATCTCAAGGTGAGGTAATATGTGGGTGGTGTGTATCCCAGAGTAAGGTCATGTGTCTTTGATGTATGTCCTGGAGTGAGGTCATGTGTGTGCAATGTGTACCTGGGGGTAAGGTCATGTTTATGCGACATATATCCCTAGGTGTGTCTTGGAGTGAGGTAACATGTTCCCTGTGTTCCCTCATTGACAGGAATCTTAATGGGTGCAGTGATCAGGATCATAGAGTCTCAGAAACTGGCCAATTGGAAGGTAAGAGTGATTTACAGGGCACAGTGCAGGAGAGTTCATAGCCATTGCACAGTTCACCATTTCCCAGCACAACCTGTTCACTGTTATCTTTCTTGAGCAGGGGCGGACTGACAACTCATGGGGCCCCCGGGCAATAGGGGATTATGGGGCCCCTGTATCCTAACCCACACTCAAACCACACCCAAAAAAGCCTATTAAAGGTACCAGGAGCATCTCATGGGGCCCCCTACTGACCCTGGGCCCTTGGGCAGTGCCCAAGTTCCCAAATAGTCAGTCCGCCCCTGTTCTTGAGTAATGCCACTGGAGGTGTCATTCTACAGGACCCCTTTAAAGCTTTAACCCTTCTGTAACCCCACCAGAGGTCACAACCATTCTACAGGACCCCTTTAGTGCTCTCACCCATCAGTAACCTCACTGGAGGTCAAAGCCATTGTACTGGACCCTTTACTGCTCTCTCCCCTTGGGTAACATCACTGGAGGTCACAGTCACTGTACCTGACCCCCATTACTGCTCTCTCCCATCAGTGACACCACTGGCGGTCTCAGCTATTGCTCAGTACCCCTTTCCTGTTATATTCCTTGAGTAACCCTACTGGGGACACAGCCATACAGGACCCCTTTCCTGCTCTCACCCATTAGTAAGCTCACTGGAGGTCACAGCCGTTGTCCAGGATTCCTTTACTGCTCTCTCTCATCAGTTACCCCCACTGGAGGTCCTAGCTATTGTACTAGACCCTTTTACTGCTCTCTGCTATCAGTTACACCATTGGAGTTCACTGTCATTGTACTAGACCCCTTTACTGCTCTCTCTCCCATAGGAAACACACTGGATGTCTCAGCTGATGTACAGGACCCCTTTACTGCTATATTCCTTGAGTAACCCCACTGGGGGACACAGCCATACAGGACCCCTTTACTGCTTGCACCCATTAGTAACCTTGGTGGAGGTCACAGCCATTGTACAGGACCCCCTTACCACTCTCCCATCAGTCGCCCCACTGGAGGTCACAGCCATTGTACAGGACCCTCTTACTGTTGTCTCTCATCAGTCACCCCACTGGAGGTCACAGCTATTGTACAGGACCCCCTTTACTGCTATATTCCTTGAGTAACCCCATTAATGGACACAGCCATACAGGACCACTTTACTGCTTGTACCCATTAGTAACCTTGGTGGAGGTCACAGCCATTGTACAGGACCCCTTACCACTCTCTCCCAACAGTCACCCCACTGGAGGTCACAGCCATTGTACAGGACCCCTTTATTGCTTTCCCATAAATAAGCCCACTGGAGGTCCAGGCTGTTGTACTTGACCCTTCACTTCTTTCTCTCCCATCAGTAACACCAATGAGAGTTTCAATCATTGTACTGCCATATTCCTTCAGCAACCCCTCTGGTGGTCACAGCTATAGTACAGGATCCCTATACTGCCCTCACCCATTGGTAACCTTACTGTAGGTCACAGCCATTGTACAGGACCATTTTATTGCTCTCCCGCCAATAACCCCCTTAAAGGTCAGATTCATTTTACAAGACCCCTTTACTACTCTCTCCCATCAGTCAACCCCCCCATTTCCAAGCTTGCTGAGATCTTTTGGGAACAATGTGGCCACCTCTGCTGTATGTGGGGAAAGCTGAGATATTTGTCTTTATACAGGAGGAAGAGATGTTCCGGCCTAATATGTTCTTCCTGCTGCTGCTCCCACCCATTATTTTTGAGTCGGGTTACTCACTGCACAAGGTAACTCTTCTTTTATTGTGTGATTTCTCAATCCATTAGATATGTGCCTGATTGGAATCTGTAAAATCTGTGAAAAGTCAGTATACCAGATTGCTCAAAAAATGTTCCTCATGAGATCAGAATTTGAAATGTTACCCAAAATTATAAATATACATTGGGGTTATTTCACAAGTGCTTTTTGCTGCTTTTAACAATTAGCACAGGGAAGATTGTGGCTGTTTCACGAGGAAATGAAACAGAAATTAATCAGTTTAAAGCAGGGTGGATTTGATGTAAATCACAATTTAAATCGCTAGTGAAAAGGCTCGATTTAAATAATAATTTTTAAAGAGCAACTGTCATCTCTGTCCTGCAGCGGCTCCTTCTCTGACGCGCTGTTGACTCACCGACAGTCACATTCACTTTAATGGAACGGCTGGTGATGCGGCAGTGACACAACAAGGTGAGGGACGTGGCGGCAGCAGGTGAGTGGATGCCTGCTAACAGGCGCTGCCATGATGTATCTGAAATGACAGGTGCTCTTTAAATGTAAGGAATCCGACTTATTCTTGCTGGAAGTTAGAATCTTTAATGTTTGAAAACCAAACGAAGGTTTCCTTTTTAGAATAATAAGCTGTCAGGTTAGTAAAACAGCGATATCAGAACCGATTTTAGGTTAACAGGTTAATCACACATAGCTGGAGAATTCTTTTATTTCATGTTTTTTTCTCATGGTTACTGTGAAAGAAATTGTGTGAATGCGTCAATGCAGTGCATGTGATCTCAGCTTGCAGAGCTTGGATTCATTGAATGAGTTACCAAAAATGTAAATATTGCAGAATATACAGCCTCATGCAACATAGCTAAGCTCCATTTCGTGCTGAATAAACTCAATTATGAATGTATCTTAAGCACCTCCCGCCCGCCATATAGTAATAGGTGATTCCCTCGTTCTGGGAGGACGTCATATGACATCCTCCCATTCTCACCGCTCATGCGCGGCGATCGGCGGTGCGCGGATCACCGATCACGGGAAGAGCCGCAGATGTCGGCTCGGTCATGTGATCAGCTGTGTCCAATCACAACTGATCACATGTAAACAGGGAAATGCTGGTTATCGGCATTTCTGTCCTCTAGAGCTGTCACCCTGACAGCCCGAGAGGAGAGCCGGTAACACTGTTCAACAGGTACAAAGTTTTGGGCATAAAATTAGCTAATCTTACATAATTTTGGGGTGCTGAAAACGAAAATGACCCTAAAAAATGTTGATTGGCTCTAGTTTCCATGATATATTCACCCATCTAATGATGTAAGCCATTCAAAATTATGATGCAACTTCAGCTGCATATTGCGCAATTGATACTGGTGACCAATAGAAAATTGCATGTATACTGAGATGATGCAATATTAGCCTTTAATTGCATCACTTCACTGCATAAAAAAGCTGCAGTATCTGTAGCTGATTGTAGTTCGACAGCGTCTTTACATTTCGTTTTATGCTTATATAGGCTACTCAGTAATGCCTCGAACTTGTGTGAATAAAGCAGATAATTTCTGCTATATCTGCGGTGAAATAACTTTTATCTCACAAAAAAGGAGGATAACAGGAATGATTAAGAAAGCCTACAACTTGTATTTTGGCTGCAAGATAGGAGACCAGGACAAGAGCTGGGCACCACATATATGCTGCAATTCTTGTGGGACGGCACTGGAGCAATGGTTGAATGGAAAAAAGGCATCTATGCCTTTCGCTGTGCCAATGATTTGGAGAGAGCCAACAGATCATGTTAGTAATTGTTACTTTTGTATGGTGCCTCCAATTGTAAAAGGGCTAAATAAGAAGAAAAAGTTATCTGTGCACTATCCAAATATTCCATCGGCAATACGTCCAGTTCCTCATGGAGAGGGGCTACCAATTCCTAAAGCACCAGAATCCTTCGTGGTTGAGTCAAGTGAGGAAGAACCTGAAGCGTGTAGTCACGTGCAGTTGTAAGAGATAGCCCTTTCCTCGAATACAAGAGAGAAGCCAAGAGAAGCAAAACCGACACAAACTGAAGACAAAACTAGTGAGAATCCTAAGTATTAAAATGATTCAACTTAGCTTATGGCTATAATTTTTCTTGGTAATCCTATGCAATATATTATGCCATTTAGGCTTTGTTATGTAGTCAATATCACTTGCTTTATATTTGTGGAAAGACATCTATCTATATAATTATTGTGCATTATGTAGTCATTACGCCTATAGTAGAAAACTTTCCGTTTACAGAAAAACTAGAGCCAATTGACAAATTTCATTGTTATATTTGAACTCAGAATGTGAAATTCATTAAGAAATGGATCCTTTTGTTTCCAAAACTGGCAAAAAATAAAAATTTGTTGAACAGTGAATTGGCTTTCCACGGAGGGGACATGTACACTGATCATCAGGGCACTGATGATCAGTGTGTCCTGATGATCAGTGTAGCCCCAGCAGTGCCACCTGTCAATGTCCATCAGTGCCTTGTGTCAGTACTCATCAGTGCCTCGTTCCAGTGCCCATCAGTGCCACATCAATAAAATCAAAAACCACTCTCTAAATAACATTATATAAACACAATTCCCCACAGCACCATCAACACCTTTACCCCAAAAGATGTACAAAAATTAATAAGCAGAAGATGCTATAAAATAAGTCCTCAATAATAAATAAATCCATGCAGTCCAAACCCTATAAGTCCAAAATTAGATCAAATCCTTCTCGAGTGATAATGTGTTCAAAAAAATCTTTCAGAAACTTTCCCTGGTAATATTCCTCAAAAAAAGAAAAATATCACATAGTGTATTATCTTTTAAATTAAACAATTATAAATTATAGTGACTTCATTCCAGTGAATACCCAATCACATTAATAATCCAGTGAAAAAGTGAACAAAGTAAAAAAAACTGTGAATCCAAACAGTGAAATACCACTGTGAATGTGAATCACTCTTCAGTGCTCATACTCAAACAAACACTGTGACACTTCTAAATGCAGTAAGGAATGCATACCCTTACCAATATTCCAAAAAACAGAAGCTTTTATATCTTTCAAAAAGATAGGTGGGAGATAGTCCTCCTGTGGATCTTTACCCAGTTTAATCCGCCTTCATAATACTATCAGGATCCAAAAGCCTTGAGACTCCATATGTCCCCATCAAACATATAAGTATAAGCATATAAGGGACAAAATAGTGTGATACCGCCAAGATAAATCATAAAATTGACCTTTAATCAAGGTGCTTACATTTTGCCAGCTTTAAAAAAAAAAGGTCAAGCCAACCACTTGAATAACAGAGAACGTGAGAATGCAGCCCCAAAATGTAATCTCAAACAGATTAGTGGTAAACATACAACAAAGGATACAGGCATTGCTAATACAATGCAGCGGTCTCCTTGGGAGCATGTCACCATAGTTATGGGTATTGCCATTGTGTATGCAGTGCTATAAAATTGGTGTATTACACAGCCACTCACAGGTGCACTGGTTAGTATAGCATGCAGCTCCAAAGATTCCTAAAAGATACCAAAGGCAGTCATTAAACATTATATAGAGGTTCTAGAAGTGTAAAAAAATAAACTGAAAGTGATACCAAAGGTTACTTTTTTTTCTTTATAATAATAAACAGATGTTATACCTACCTGCCTGCCCTGTGCAGTGATATTGCGCAGAGATGTCCTTTACTTCTTCTTCTGGAGTCCCCTACCAGCGCTGTCTGCTTCCTCATCCTGCGAGTGCCTCCATAAAATGCCATGTGCTGGGAGCACCTGGGGGTGCTCCTGAGCAGGGCTGTGTGCATCCATAGACACACACAGCATGGTTTGGCTCAGCCAAAACCCACATTTCCCCCTCCCCCACCTCCCTCCTCTCAGGATTTCACTGACAGAGATAAAGACCGGTCTATGGAAAGTGATTTTTTTCCCCTTGTTAGTCTTGGAGAAAGTTGGATCTACTTTGAAATAAAAATCCTAACTTGGATAATGCATTTAACCACTTCCCGCCTGGCCCATGTATATAAACGGCCAGAAGGGAGCAGTGCAGGGGAAGGTGGCCGTTTATAAACGCAATCCGGTGCCTGCTGTGTCCTCCGGACACAGTGGAACACCGATCGTTGTACGGGACTTCTGCGTGAGGTCCCGATTATGTGATCACCGATTGGCCAATCGGTGATCACATGCAGAGTAGTAAGCAACTTCTGACATCATTGCTTACTACGTGTGAAATCTGTGAATGATCACAGAGGTCACATGGTACAAGGCTATTCGCAACAGCCTTGTACCATGTGACAAGTTGTGACCAATCACAGCTCACACAGTATTTTTCAATGAAAACAAGGAGAAATGATTGTTTTTACAGTCTTTATGGGTGTAAAAGCAATCAGTGTAAAAAAAAAAAAATCTTCATCACCCCCCACAAGTTGTACAGTGTCGCTATGGTGACACTGCACTGTTAGGGTGACAGTATGTAAAAAAAAAAAACAAACAAAAACATAATAATATAAAAAATGTAATAAAACATTTTGACAAATTATAATTTTTGGTTATAAACTAATTTGAGTTATTTATTTATTTTTTTTTACTAAAACGATAACTGAATAAATTTTGTACAAGATTTATAAAGAAAGATTATTTATTTGCAAAATTTTATAAGAAATTTTTTTTTCAAAATTTTTGGACTTTTTCATTTATATAGCAAAAAAATAAAAATCCCAGTGGGTAATAAATACCACAAAAATAAAGTTTTATCTGTCTACGGAAAATGCTAAAAAAGTTCATATGGGTACAGTGTTGCATGACCGCGCAATTGTCATTCAAAGTGTGATAGCAGTGAAAGCTGAAAATTGGCCTGGACAGGAAGGGGGCGAAAGTGTCCGGACTTGAAGTGGTTAATACTTATATTTTAAGATATCCAGAGATATAGATTTTTACTTTGAGAGCAAGAGGATCGTATGGATAAGATGACGGATGAGCTTCTTAAGTAGACTCGTAATTCCTTTCTTTTCTAGCCTTAGGCCTTCTTCAGCCACTGCAGATGTGGTCCATAATCAGGAAAACTGGAATTTCATACAAAATCAAAAGAAGCAACTTTTCAAACTGTGGACATCAGAGGGTGACTTATGCTTTTTGTGCACCCTTCAAAAATGCCAAAACTTTATTTGTTCTCTTTGTAGAACGGATTAAAGGTCAGAGATATCTAGGAGCTCTGTCACCCATATTTTGGATTCCTGTAGTACAGGGATGTCCAAACTTTTGACTTTCATGGGCCACATTGGAAAAAGAGGAATTGACTTGGGCCACACAGAAACTACACTAATAATAAGTATAGCTGATGGGCAGAAAAAGTCTGGCAGATCACTGATATAGATAATGTATCTATCTGACCCCTTATTTGATGAGAAAGCTGGGGTCTTTCCTGAACAGATATGCAAGACAGCTACGTAGGCAAGCCTTTCCACTTTCTTCCCCCTCTTGGCATTTTCTCAGAAGTGGACCTTTGGATGGAATATTCTTCTAGCTCTTGTCCAAGCCTAACCTGGCAAGTTCCTGTTCTTCCTGTGCTGTCCTGGAAGATGATGGAGAGAAGCGAGCGTTAGATTTACCAGAATCTCTATTTTCAGATATCTTCCAGGACAAGCGAGTTTTTTGTATCGGTTGTCTGTATTTCATAACTGCCCTTTTTCAGTTGCCACTAACTGATCCTGTGGTCCTTTTTTTTTTTTAAACTTCTAGTGGTTTGGGTTTCCTGTTCCATTGGAAAGAGTCACACGCCTGTACCCTTCTGGAAGATTCTTGGCAGAAGTTTACGGTTTCGTCTGACTCCCATTCCTCAGTTCACAGGTTTTATCTCAGAATTTGTTACATTTTGTGCTTCTATCTTTTTTTTTTTTTTTTTTGTGGGTAAAAGTCAGCTGACAAGTAATCATCATGAGTTTTTTGCTTGCATTTATAGAGAGCTGAAAAAGGAGCCGTTACAGGAAAAGCTAAAATAATTCATGGAATAAAAATTAATTTATGATAAATTATTTATTATTTTTTACAGGTACTTACCGTATTTCGCGCTCCATAAGACGCACCTGACAATAAGACGCACCTAGGTTTTAGAGGCGGAAAACAAGAAAAAAAATATTCTGAACCAATGGACTGCGGACACAGTACAGGAAATGACCAGAGACTGCGGACACAGTACAGCAGATGACCAGAGACTGCGGACACAGTACAGCAGATGACCAGAGACTGCGGACACAGTACAGGAGATGACCATAGACTGCGGACACAGTACAGGAGATGACCAGAGACTGCGGACACAGTACAGGAGATGACCAGAGACTGCGGACACAGTACAGGAGATGACCAGAGACTGCGGACACAGTACAGGGGATGACCAGAGACTGCGGACATAGTACAGGAGATGACCAGAGACTGTGGACACAGTACAGGAGATGACCAGAGACTGTGGACACAGTACAGGAGATGACCAGAGACTGCGGACACAGTACAGGAGATGACCAGAGACTGCAGACACAGTACAGGGAATGACCAGAGACTGCGGACATAGTACAGATGACCAGAGACTGCGGACATAGTACAGATGACCAGAGACTGCGGACATAGTACAGATGACCAGAGACTGCGGACATAGTACAGGGAAAATACCAGGGACATAGTACAGATTACCAGAGACTGCAGACAGTGCAGGGGATGACCAGAGACTGCGGACCTTTGGGGAGGAAGGGGGAGCGGGTACCTGAATTTGACAGGTACCCGCTCCCACTTCCGCGGAGTTGTCCTTCCCTCTTCTTCCCGCGAAGACTGTACAGCGCTGGAGCGAGGAACAGGTAAGGTCCTGCAGGAGACAAGAGCTGAGCGGCCGGCCCGATATTCTGACATGGTGGCGGCAGAAATACCGGACCGGCCGCTTTATATTCGCTCCATAAGACGCACTGACATTTCCCCCCTTTTTTTGGGGGAAAAAAGTGCGCCTTATAGAGCGAAAAATACGGTATATAGCACTGTTACACAGTGTTCTCTCTATATATATATATATATATATATATATATATATATATATATATCTATCTATATCTATATATCTATATATATATATATATCTATCTATATCTATATATCTATATATATATATATATTATTGTACATTCACATCAGTCCCTAACCCTCTAGGGGTGTACAATCTTACAATCTAAGGTCCCTAACTTACATACACATACTAGGGCCAATTTAGACAGGAGCCAATTCACCTACCAGCATGTCTTTTGGAGTGTGGGAGGAAACTAGAGTACCCGGAGGAAACCCATGCAGGCATATTTGCGTGCCATTAGAAAATACATATGTGCTGAGAGAGTGCGCCCTGTGCGCTCCCAGCAGGTATGTCCTTGACTCATGGAAAGGTCGGGATCTCCTCTTGCGATCGGCACCTTTTCCGATCATCTGACCGCCATGACAGCGAATCACGGCGGTCACATGACCCTAAGACCCCGCCTTCCGACTTCTGAAACTCTTAAAGGGCTGGGGGGTCCACCGCAATGGGGTTAACAAGCTGAAGTTAGAAGCTGATTGGCTACCATGCACAGCTGCACCAGATTTTGCACTCTCTAGTTTTAGTAAATTAACCCCACTGGCAAACCACCGATTGCAGTTCTATAGGACATTCACAAATCTGTTTCAGTTTGATTGGTTGTTCTTGGCAGAGCTGACCTTTACCTCTCCTCTGCTGCGTGTGTAATCCAATGGTTAGCACATCTCCAGCTCTGTGGGTGAGCCTTTCAGTAAGATCCAGCGGATTACATTTCCAGGAACACAGCCAGATGGGTTTATAGATGTCCAACTGTGCTGGCCGAGGTGACATCTGGGAAATTTAGCTGGCCCTTTACTGCTGCCAAGGTATTACGAGTCTCCTTCCGTGTTCTGGAATGCTTATTCCCTAAATGTTTTAGAGTGTGAAGAAGTGGTAGGACATTCCTGATATAAGATACTCCGCAACGAATGGTTCTAACACTCACATGGCAGGATGGAGATTCTGGGAAGTTCAAGATAGAGATGATAGGGGCAGTTGAATCAGGATGTGAATTAGGGGAATCATGGTTATTGTAGGATGGTGATGTGGGGGGGGGGGGGGTGCTGGGAGATGTAAGAGTCGCTTCCTTTTTTTTATGTCGCTTTCTCCTTATTCTCCTGTTTTTATTTCAGGGAAACTTCTTCCAGAATATTGGCTCCATCACTCTGTTTGCAGTAATCGGTACAGCCGTGTCAGCCTTCATTGTGGGTGGCGGCATCTTCTTCCTGGGGCAGGTAGGTGTCTGAGCTACAATCCGATCAGATGGAGGGTTTACAGATAGTGTAGGGTTTGTCACCAGCCTCACTATATTTCCTATCTCTCATGGTTGTCCTGCAGTCCTCATGTATTATTTGGCAGCTCCTCATCCTGCCCCTGCAGTGCCTTTTGCTGCGTTCACAGTGAATTGTTCTGCCCTGCAGTGGCTCCCCCCCCTCACAGTGCATTGTTCTGCCCTGCAGTGGCTCCTTCACCCTCATAGTGCATTGTTCTGCCCTGCAGTGGCCCCTTCACCCTCACAGTGCATTGTTCTGACCTGCAGTGGCTCCTCCCCCCTCACAGTGCATTATTCTGCCCTGCAGTGACTTCTTCCCCCTCACAGTGCATTGTTCTGCCCTGCAGTGGCTCCTCCCCCCTCACAGTGCATTGTTCTGCCCTGCAGTGACTCCTTCCCCCTCACAGTGAATTGTTCTGCCCTGCAGTGGCTCCTCCCCCCTCACAGTGCATTGTTCTGCCCTGCAGTGGCTCCTTTACCCTCACAGTGCATTGTTCTGCCCTGCAGTGGCTCCTTTACCCTCACAGTGCATTGTTCTGCCCTGCAGTGGCTCCTCCCCCCTCACAGTGCATTGTTCTGCCCTGCAGTGGCTCCTCCCCCCTCACAGTGCATTGTTCTGCCCTGCAGTGACTCCTTCCCCCTCACAGTGAATTGTTCTGCCCTGCAGTGGCTCCTCCCCCCTCACAGTGCATTGTTCTGCCCTGCAGTGGCTCCTTTACCCTCACAGTGCATTGTTCTGCCCTGCAGTGGCTCCTTTACCCTCACAGTGCATTGTTCTGCCCTGCAGTGGCTCCTCCCCCCTCACAGTGCATTGTTCTGCCCTGCAGTGGCTCCTTCCCCCTCACAGTGCACTGTTCTGTCTCTGCAGTGGCTCCTTCCCCCTCACAGTGCACTGTTCTGTCTCTGGAGTGGCTTCTTCTCCCTCACAGTGCATTGTTCTGCCCTGCAGTGGCTCCTTCCCCCTCACAGTGCATTGTTCTGCCCTGCAGTGGCTCCTTCCCCCTCACAGTGCACTGTTCTGTCTCTGCAGTGGCTCCTTCTCCCTCACAGTGCACTGTTCTGTCTCTGCAGGGACACCTTCCCCCTCACAGTGCATTGTTCTGCCCTGCAGTGGCTCCTTCTCCCTCACAGTGCACTGTTCTGTCTCTGCAGGGACACCTTCCCCCTCACAGTGCAGTGTTCTGCCCTGCAGTGGCTCCATCCCCCTCACAGTGCATTGTTCTGCTCTCACAGTGCATTATCTGACCCCATAGTGCCTTGCTTCACCTTCACAGTGCATGTTTCTGCCCCCCAACAGTAAATCATTCCAGCCCATTTCAAATAATTTTTGGGTCCCCTCAGTGCCTCATATTGCTCTAACAGTGCATTGTTCTGCCCCTGCAGTGCCTCTTTCCACCCCCACAGTGCATTTTTCAAAACATGGTAATGAGGGACTCAGTTCCTGCAATGTCTTGTGTAGAATGCCACACCCCCACATAGGGGGACATGATGCTGCTATGATGACATGGTAATGACCGGCCCTTCCCTTGGGAAGTCCTATGTGGAAAGCCTCACCCCTGTTTTAAAGAGACATGATGCTCGTATGATGAAATGATAACGATGAGCCCCTCCCCTGGGAAGTCCTGTGTAGATGAGTACACCTCTGTATAAGGGTACATGTTGCTCCTGGGATGACATGCAAATGAGGGGCTCCGTCCCTGGGAAGTCCCATGTGGAAGGCCACACCCCTATATAAAGAGACATGATGCGCATGTGATGAAATGGGTATGATGAGCACCTCCCCTGGGAAGTCCTGTGTATAAGGCCACACCCCCACATAGGGTGAAATGATGCTGCTATGATGACATGGTAATAAGGGGCCCCTTCCCATGGAAGTCCTGTGCGGAAAGCCACACCCCCCACATTGGGGTACATGATGCTCTTATGATGACATGGTAATGACCGGCCCTTCCCTTGGGAAGTCATATGTGGAAAGCCTCACCCCTGTTTTAAAGACACATAATGCTCCTATGATAAAATGATAATGATGAGCCCCTCCCCTGGGAAGTCCTGTGTAGAAGAGTACACCTCTGTATAAGGGTACATGATGCTCCTGGGATGACATTCAAATGCGGAGCTTCTCCCCTGGGAGTCCCAAGTGGAAGGCCACACCCCTATATAAAGAGACATGATGCTCCTGTAATGAAATGGGTATGATGAGTCCCTCCCCTGGGAACTCCTGTGTATAAGGCCACACCCCCAAATAGGGTGAAATGATGCTGCTATGATGACATGGTAATGAGGGGCCCCTTCCCATGAAAGTCCTGTGTAGAAGAGTACAACCCTGTATAAGGGTACATGATGCTCCTATGATGACATGGTAATTAGAGGCTCCTCCCCTGGGAAGTCCTATGTGGAAGGTCACACCCCTGTATAAGGAAACATGATGCTTGTATGATGAAATAGTAATGATGGGCCCCTCCCATAGGAAGATCTATGTAGAAGGCCACACCCCTGCATAAAGAGACATGCTGCTTGTATGGTGAAATGGTAATGATGGGCCCCTCCCATAGGAAGATCTATGTAGAAGGCCACACCCCTGCATAAAGAGACATGCTGCTTGTATGATAAAATGGTAATGATGGGCCCCTCCCATAGGAAGATCTATGTAGAAGGCCACACCCCTGCATAAAGAGATATGATGCTTCTATGATGAAATGGTAATGACGGGCCCCTCCCATAGGAAGATCTATGTAGAAGGCCACACCCCTGCATAAAGAGACATGATGCTTCTATGATGAAATGGTAACGACGGGCCCCTCCCATAGGAAGATCTATGTAGAAGGCCACACCCCTGCATAAAGAGACATGATGCTTCTATGATGAAATGGTAATGACGGGCCCCTCCCATAGGAAGATCTATGTAGAAGGCCACACCCCTGCATAGAGACATGATGCTTCTATGATGAAATGGTAACGACGGGCCCCTCCCATAGGAAGATCTATGTAGAAGGCCACACCCCTGCATAAAGAGACATGATGCTTGTATGATGAAATGGTAATGATGGTCCACCTCCCTTGGGAAGTCCTATGTAGAAGGCAACACCCCTATATAAAGGGACATGATGCTCTTATGATGGCATAATAATTAGGACCCTTCTCTTGATTAATCAAGTTTAGAAGGCCACACCCCTGTATAGGGGGACATGATACCTATGGTGACATGGTAATGAGGGGCCCTCCCCTGGGATGTCCTGCATACAAGGCCACATTCTTACAGAGGGGACATGCTGCGCTTATGTTGGAATCTGACCGTTCACCTCCCACCTGACTGTAATGTTTTTTTCTTCTCAGGCGGATGTCATCTACAAACTCACCATGACTGACAGGTATCTATCTCCCCCGTACCCCCTCTGTGTGCATAATGCAAGTGTACAATCCAAACGCACACGTCCCTGCGTTAAAAATGGCTCTGTGTATAAGTGGGTGCTGCAGCGATCGTCGGCTGGAACTAAACAGAATCAGCAAGGGAGAATGTCACCAGCACACCGAGGATTACCAATACGGGTCCAAAAGTTTTCATGAACGATCACATAGTTACAGCAAGGCAACGTTTCGGAGTCTCTCAGGACCCCTTCATGCCTGATGAATGGATCCTGCGAGACTCCGAAACGTTGCCTTGCTGCAACTATGTGATCGTTCATGAAAACTTTTGGACCCATATTGGTGATCCTCGGTGTGCTGGTGACATTCTCCCTTGCTCCCTCTGTGTGCCTGCCGCTGTTTTGGGTGATAACTGGTTATTGTTAGGGTAATGTGTGACACACACACAGTAGAGAATGATGCATTCTATATTTCGAAATCCTAGCCAGTGGTCCATTATTAGAAGTGTAATGATCTGTGTTTTTTTTACCTCCAAGAAGCATGGTATGTGTTATAGTGTGCTGCAGAGTGTTGTAGGTACCGCTGATATGACGTGACGGAATGACAGGGGTTATGTATGTACATACAAAATGATAGGATGAGGGTCTGATGTATTAAAGAGCTTTCTATAAATCCCATGATATAGATGTAAATGGAGGATTTGTTTCCTGGCTGCTCCCGCTCCTCCTTGCGTTGGTGTGGGGGTATCATTGTATATTCTGCACCCTCAGGGGTGTTATTATAGGCTGCCTCTCCAATGTTATTACCCTCTCTCCTCCTGTTTTTGCACTGTTTTCTCTCTCCATCTCTTCTCTTTCACCCTCTTTACAGCCCCTCTCTTACCCCCTTCTGCCCTTTCTATCTTCCTCCTTCCCTCTATCCTCTCTCCCTCTCCTCCTTTCCACCCCTGGCTAACCCCCTCATCTTGCCCCCTCTCTCTATTCCCTTCTCTGTTTTCCTTTCTTCCCCCAACCTCTGTTTTTTTGTCTCGATTCTATTTCAACCTCAAGTCTCTTTTTCCATGTCCCCCTCCTGTTTCCTTTCTCTCTTCCCCCTCCCCTCTATTTATCCCCCCCCTCCCTGTTCCCCCTCTCTTTATAGCTCCCACCTTCTCTATGTTCCTCTCCCGTTTTCTGCCACTTCTCTGTCCCCCCTCCCTCTTGCCCCCCCACTCTCCTGCCACCTCTCCCTTCCATCACCCTTCTCCTCTGTGTTTACCTTCCCCTTACCCTGTCCCCCCTACCTTCTTTTTCTCTCCTTTCAATTTCCTACTCAGCCTCCTCACTCTCCCTCTCCTCTTTTTTCTCCCTCTCTCTGTCCCTCTTCTCCCTTCTTCTCTCTCTATCCCCCCTTCTGCACATACAGAATCTGATTAGAAACACTAACCACAGCATGTGAATGTGTCTAAATCAGAGGTGGGCAACTCTGGCCCTCCAGCTGTTGTAGAACTACAAGTCCCATGAGGCATTGCAAAACTGACAGTTACAAGCATAACTCCCAAAGGCAGAGGCATGATGGGACTTGTAGTTCACCAACAGCTGGAGGGCCACAGTTGCCCACCTCTGGTCTAAATGCATCTAAACCTGCTTTAGTCCTCATATACACCAGATGCAGTCGAATACCTTTTTAAGCGCAGTATCAATGCAAATGCAAGAAAAATGAATGTATTTTACTGAGCTTAGTATACACCATTGTGGTTCTTTCATGTGCTTTTAGGAACAGTACAGCATACTGCATTTTTTTTTGCACATTTTTTTTTGCACCAGAATGCAAATGTAGCTCACTTAAAAAAGGATTGTAAATACTGCCAAAAATGCAAACCAAGTACACCAAAAACATGCAGCAAATTCCATCCAAATCCATGTAAAGATGCATGCAGAACTGCTCACTGAATGCGGGGATTGCGGGGTAAGTGCCTGTTGACACCAGAATATGGTTTGGGAAACCCACGTTCTGTGTGTGTTTCCCAAATTGTGTTCAAAACGCACTGCATTTGCGATCTGCAGCGGATGTTAGTGTTAAGGACACCCCAAATGCAGGTCGCAATCCAGTTGCAGTGCTTTTTTTTTTGTAAAGTAGTATATGCACTATTTTTGGTGTGGTCTGGTGCGATTTAGCCCGATCAAAATGAATGAGCTGAAATCACACCGTATGTGAATTGCACAGAAATGAGCAGGCCGTTCCTGTGCAATTCCTGGTGTGAACTGTCCCTTAACCCCCCTGGCGGTATTCCCAAGTGTAGCTTGGGGTAAAGTTTCAGTACCAAAAGCGGTAACCCCGAGCTACACTCGGGAATACACTGCAGCGTTGCCCTGGGATCAATAGAAATGTAATAATAAAAATAATTGGAAAGACACCTAATTCATACACTTATATCCATAATGTATTAAAAATGGACTAAAAATAGAAAATCTAAAAATTCACGATTTGCACCAGGTGACAGATCGTGTATATAATAAACAATAGTGAGTGGCCATAAACGATATCAATCATTGCCACGTTCATTTCATATATTATTTGGGCATATATAGAGAAACTACAAAGAATCATCCCAAAAATACCAACTATACGATTAAAATTAAAAGTCGCTAATAAAACAATTGAGGTCAAATTGGACATTCAGACCTCTTGGGGCCTGAGACCTCATTAGAAAGATCCATTTGGACTCCGCCTGGCTAAGGGACCGTATCTTATTACTTCCCCTCCAGTGGCCCTTGAACTTCTCTATACCCCAAAATCTTAATGAAGATGGGTCATTCTGATGATGTGTGGAGAAATGCCTTGATACACTGTGGTTTTAGTATCCCTTTTTTATATTCTGCACGTGTTCTCTTTTTCTTTTCCACATGGGCCTCTTGGTTCTTCCCACATACTGAAAACCACACTTACACTCAAGGCCATATACCGCCCCTTCCGTGCGGCAGGATATAAAGTCTTTGATGGTATATACTACCCCCGTATTGTTAGCCTGAAATTGTTTTTTTCTTTTATTGGTCCCCTTGGTTTCCCTGCATGCATAGCATGTTCTACATGGGTAGAATCCCTTCTGGTCAAAAAATTTGATTTTTTGATTTTTGAATGGGGGATCTATCACGTTTTTAACTATTTTACTCCTAATAGTTGGAGCTTTTCTGTAGATGAATCTAGGTCGCTCAGATATGCATTTTTCCAATACCTGATCTGATCTTAATATTGGCCAGTACTTCTTAAAGATCATTTCCACTTTTTTGTAATGTGTATTGAAGTCTAGTATAATCAATACCTGATCTCCAAATTTATCTTCCTTTTCTCTATCGATAAGAAGTTGGGTCCTATCCAATCCTCCCACCTCTTTAATCTTATTAGTAATGTGTTCTCTTGTATAGCCTTTCTGTTTAAATCTATCCCCAATAATTTGAACCTGGTTCATATAGTCTTCTTTCCGTGTGCAATTTCTTCGTAGGCGTACAAATTGGCCTTTGGGGATATTTAGCAACCACGGGGGATAGTGGCAGCTATCCAACGGGATATAGCCATTCCGGTCAACCCCCTTGAAAAATGTTGTGGTGACAAGCTTACCTCCTCCTATCTTAATATTGAGATCTAGGAAGTTGATAGATTCTCTGCTGAATTCCCAGGAGAATTTAATATTCTTATAATTATCATTTAATCTGTTCAAGAATAGTTGTAAAGATTCTACATTTCCTTCCCACAATATTATCACGTCATCGATAAATCTTTTAAATAGGACTAATTCTTTAGGGGGCTGTTGATATACTGAGTCTTGTTCCCAATAAGCCATGAAAAGATTGGTTACACTCGGGGCAAATCGGGCTCCCATAGCAACCCCTTTGATCTGCTGGAAGAATTTATTCCTATGCCAGAAATAGTTATGGGTCAAACAGAAATCCAGACAATCTATAATGTACTTTCTTTGTTTCCAAGACAGATTACTGAATTCCCTCAGGCCCCAACTTGTAGATTCAATTGCGTTTTTATACCCAATGATGGTATACAGGGATGAGACATCTGCGCTTGCTATGCATAATTCAGAGCACTCTTTGATATTATCCAACATCTGAATCAGATGTTTCGTATCCCTTAGATACGATTCTGTATTTTTGACCAGTGGCTAGGTATATGTCTATGTATTGTCCCAATCTGGATAGGATGAAGTCAATACCATTAACTATTGGTCTGCCTGGTGGTTTTTCTTGGTCCTTATGGATCTTGGGGAGTATGTAAATGACCAGGATTCTACAGGTGTCCGGTACTAAAAACCTAGATTCCTTCTTGGTCAAGATCTTGTTGTCTACTCCTTCTTTCACTAGCTTTTTTAGTTCCTTTTTGTAGGTTATGGTGGGATCTTTCTGAAGTATTTTGTATGTAGTGGTATCCGCTACTTGTGAGTTAAGCTCCTGCAGGTAGTATTCTTTAGATAACACTACAATACCACCCCCTTTGTCTGCAGGTCTAACCACTATATTAGCGCTGCATATGTTATTATTATTTATAGTGTGAAGGTTTGGGTTTGTACCTTTTTATGCCAGCTGCTTACCATTTATTTCCAAGCGCTCGTTAATTATTTACTGTTCTGACTATATTTTTTCTCTTAGATAATTTACGAATACCTATTTGGATCCCATTATTCCTAGGTATATTTGGGATGTTCAATTTTTCTATATCCTGGTGAACCATTCTTTTAAAAACTTCAATCTGATTATTTTTGGAAATGTGAGGATTAAAAAGAGATTTATTTCTAAGGTCTGTATGTACAATATCACTGCTAGACGCATTACTGATAACGTTTTTGGTGCCTGGTAGTCCCATAAAGTATTTTTTTTAATATTAAGTCTCCTTGTGAACTTCAGTGTGTCGACATAGATGTCAAATTTACTATCCGGTTTTGGAAGGGCAAATTTGAGGCCTTTATCTAGAACTTCCAGTTCCTACCTGGATAGGTTGGCCCCACTGAGGTTAAACACCCCTTCCCCTATTGGTCTCTTTTTTCTTTTGTTTCTTTGCCCCTGCTCGACACCCTCTCCTCCCCTTGGGGGGCTTCTCCATCTTTCTCCTCCCGGACTTCTCTCCGTTTTGTCCCTCTCTAAAAAATTCTGTTGGGGGTGGTCATATCTTAAAGAGTCATACCGGTTGGATACTGGTGGTGGACTTCTCCTTTCATGGTGGTAATGATTTTCTCTGTCATGTGAGTAATAGCCTGGACTTCTGTTTGGTTGTCTGTATTCCTGTCTATAAAATGTATCTGATGGTTGAGAACCATAATTAGGTCTAGAATTATAATTAGATCTATAGTGTGGGTACTGAGGTCTCCACTGGTTACCGTACCCCCTTCCTTTGGGTCTTTTGTAATATTGTCCTCCATTTTTGGGTTTCCACCCATTACGTGGAGTATGGCATCCATTTGTACTAATTGTGTGTGAATAATTAGTATTCATGGTTTCCCTATGTTGCTCATTCTCTCTATATGTAGCTATCTTTTGGTGTTTCTATTTTCAGATCTTTCACTGGGGAGGTGTTAACAGAGGCCCCCCTCTGTTGCATTCATTGTGGCTTGCCACTTAAAGACCTGATCTTTTTTGAAGTCGCTTAAATCCCTTTGATATTTTTTGATTTTCCTATGTCTTATTTCTTGTTCTAATTTCTCCATATCTTTATTAAGTCGATTGCTCAGCCCTATCATTTCCTGGGTCTCTTTAAAGGGTTCAATCTGAACTTTAATATCATCAATTAACTTATCTAGATTCCGTATTTTCTTTTGCTTCCTTTACATTAATAATTTAATGAGTTCCAAGCCCTTTTCATGAAAAAAATTGAACCACTCTTCTGTGGATTCCTCATCAGCATCAGACCATCTCCTATTGGTACATCCCATCTGAGTCTCCTGGGTATTAACCTATCTTTGAGATACTTCTCATAGGTTAGCATGTCCCACTTTGTGGATACCTTTTTTTCCATAAGATGTCCAAGTTTCCTAAAGCGGGTGTCCAAATCACCCTTCTTTTTGTGTTCTGATTTACTAAAGACATCCTCTATATTGACGGACATGTTTTCAATATATCCGAAAATGTCCATATTAGCTGCAGGAGGTCAGAGGTCGTGAAAGAATCAATAGAAATGTATATAGTCCTCCTGTGCTTATATGGATAGGATTATTAACCTCCCTGGTGGTATTCCCGAGTGTAGCTCGGGGTAAAGTTTCAGTACCACAAGCGGTAACCCCGAGCTACACTCGGCACTGCTCCGTGATCCCTCGATCACTTACCTTGTCCTGCGCTCCCGTGATGTCCCCCCTGCAGTGTCCCCGGCAATGTAATCTGGCGGATGCCGGCATCTGTCATCTGGGTTCCGTCCCCTGCGAGCGTCAGGACGTACGGGGGACGGAATGGCGGGAAATTTAAAAATGACAAAAAGTGACATTCACTAAAATCACTAAAATCACATAGTATAACATTCCTGTATCAAACCATTTCACATACATTTTGTCCCGAGTGCTTTGTCCGGCGCCCTGCCTGCATTTTTACTGTTCTTCCTGCCTGGAAACTGAGAAACGTCCATGGCGTCCAAAAAGCGTCCCTTTAGGTCAAAAGCGGTTTTAGATCAGCTAGAGAACAGCGATAGTAAATCAGAACCACTTGCAGAATTGAGTGATAATGATTTGTGGGGGAAATTCCTCATCAGACACTGAAAACGATTTTGCAGCTTTGCTCAGTGATGTGCGAACTTGGCGCTATATTTCAAATTTCAGTGTTTTTGGTTTGATTACATTATTGAATTCAATTTATTATTATTTTTTTATGATTATTTATTATATTATTTATGATTTTGTGTTTCAAGTTTTATCATACCTGGGATGTTTACTAGACTCTTGTTCGGACAGATTTCAGTGAGTTATTCCTAAGAATTACAGGCCTACAATAACAAAACAACATATTTCCATGCAAAAAAATGTACCGCTTTGAGCACAGAAATACTGACATAATCAGACCGCTAGGGAGGTTAATGAGCCCTTAAAGCAGGAACATCTAAACAGAAAAAGTGGCCTGGGAATCATAAAAGTTGTATATAATTCCCAGGTAACATCTGGTGCATTTACAAATGGTATACATAGTAATGCCAATATGAATGAGGCCTTACACACACTGTAAAGGAACTATTAGTCCATGAATATCTGACCTGATGAGGCGGCTCGCTGTGTGAGGGGAGGGCAGTGCGTCTGTGTACAGGCTCCTTTTCTATCTGGCAGAGTGCCATTTCTTGTCATTATTGTCTTCATGATGTGGTAAGATGAGAACAGCGTGGCTGAGTATATCCTTGTTACGGTAACTGTGCAAAGGAACGCCATGGAGCGTGTAATTTACCCTTTGTGCTTCAGGCCAGGTTTATTTATTTATTATTTATTTATTTCAGGTACTTATATAGCACCATCAATTTACGCAGCGCTTTACACACACACACACTATATATATATATATATATATATATATATATATATATATTATACATTCACATCAGTCCCTAACCCTCAAGGGGTGTACAATCTAAGGTCCCTAACTTACATTCATACATACACATATTAGGGCCAATTTAGACAGGAGCAAATTAGCCTACCAGCATGTCTTTGGAGTGTGGGAGGAAACCGGAGTACCCGGAGGAAACCCACGCAGGCACAGGGAGAACATGCAAACTCTAGGCAGAGGATGTTATCCCCTTTTGTCATGTATGGTGTCCTGAGGTCCTTGTCTCTGTATACAGGGACTTTTTATATTTTCCTGAGCTGTCACTGTAAGCAAGAACTGCAGGAAGATGTGAACAAAATCAATTAAAAAAAAAAAAAAAACCCTTCAGTCTGGTTAGATGTGACTTGCCATTTCCATACACAGTACTAATTCGCATACTGATTAGCAAAAGAAAATGTCCATCACAATGATAGGTTTTGCAGTGACTTGCCATACTTTGAATACGTAGTTGTTACCATTTACTACATACAATTTACAGATTGCCATTGGATGTGACAACTGTGCAATATTTATCAAGACATGGACAGTGATTGGGTGACCCAGAGCAACTAACCATTGTACACATATACGGTGTGTGTCTGAGAATTCTCCACCCAGCCCCTTCAATTTTTTAACTGGGTTGCTGGTTCGAATACCAACCATGGCACCACCTGCCTGGAGTTTGCATGTTCTCCCTGTGACTGCATGGGTTTCCTCCCACACTCCAAAAACATGCCGGTAGGTTAATTGGCTCCTGTCTAAATTGGCCCTAGTATGTGTATGTATGAATGTAAATTAGGAACCTTAGATTGTACGCCCCTTGAGGGTTAGGGACTGATGTGAATGTACAATATATATGTGTAGAAGTACCTGAAATAAATAAATAAATAAACAAAAAGATCACAACAGCCAAAAAAAAAAGGAATTTGGAGGAGGCTGAGAGCAATGGAAAGTAAAAATACAAACATGGATATTTTTTTTTAAACCAGACTTTAGTGCCACTATAAAAGACATATCTTATCAATGAGTTCCTGTGCACACACATGGGATCTGGAGATTCATTCAACATATCTTGTCCCAGGATATAGCCAAACACCTCCACACCAGGATTTAGGCAAGGTCTCTGAATACTGAACTCCATTCATTGGCAACAAGAAACAGCAGTGTGATTGATTGGTTGGGGAGCAGTCAGGGTACAGAGCACACAGAGGCCAGGGTGCAGGTGGGGTACAGAGCACACAGGTGGGGTGCAGGTGAGGTACAGAGCACACAGGTGGGGTGCAGGTGGGGTACAGAGCTCACAGAGGGGGAATATTGGATGGGTAGAGAGTGCACACAGAGGTGGGATGTTGCTGAAGTTCAGGGTACAAAGAGTGGAGATGCAGGTGGGGTACAGAGCACACAGACCAGGGATGCAGGTACGGTGCAGAGCACGCTAGGGGGAATGCAGGCATGTACAGGGTACTTGAAGGGGGTGCAGACAGTATACAGAGCACAGGGAGAAGGGAGATGCAGAGGGCTACAGAGCACACAGATGAGGCATGCAGGCATCACACATAGCACACAGAAGGGGGATTTGGGTGTTGTACAGATAACACAGAGTGGGGGGAGATGCAGGTGGGTACAGAGCACATGGAAGGGGATGTAGATGGGATACAGAACACATGGAAGGGGGTGCAGATGGAGTACAGAGCACACAGTGAGATGCAGGTAGGGCACAGAGCACACAGAGAGGAGATGCAGGTGGGTACAGAGCACATGGAAGGGAATGTAGATGGAGTACAGAGCACACAGAGTGAGATGCAGGTGGGTACTAAGCACATGGAGGGGGTGCAGATGGGGTACAGAGCACACAGAGGGGGAAGCAGGTGGAGTGCAAAGCACTTAGATTGGGATGCAGGTGGGTGTCTCTACTTGTCACGTTATGTTATGGATTATACTGCTCTTCCATCTCTGATTGTACCTGGTCACACATGGTTCCATATGAATTCACACACAAACGTATCATAGGGTTCACTCAGGATGGACAAAAATACAAAGTATCCATAGGGACAGGGATGATTGCATTGCTGAAGGACGGTACTCACATAACTGGGGGCATTAACATTTGTTTTTGCTGTCTTCCTTATAAAGTGATTCTCATATTTTCTATGTATGCCTGTATTTCAGCTTTGCCTTCGGATCATTAATCTCTGCTGTGGATCCCGTTGCCACAATTGCCATTTTCAATGCTCTGAACGTGGATCCGGTGCTGAACATGTTGGTGTTTGGAGAGAGCATCCTTAATGACGCAGTCTCCATTGTTCTCACAAAGTGAGTGCATTGTATGGAATGGTATTGTGTGAGGTGCAGCCCACATGCTGCTGGGAGGTGGCTTCTGATGGTCGGTTCTGGTTCTGGGACCCATATATCGTACTGTCTCTTCTGTACAACAGCCACCGATAATCTTGTGTCGGTGCTCCCAGTGACTGCTGTGCTCTTAGGTGGGGGCAACTCACAAAGGTGCATCCAAATATGTGGTAAGATAAATATAGTTCATTTGCCCCAAGTGCAGTAAAAAGACAGAACCCATTGTTGTCAGGTGTCCTGCTTTGTATCAATTTTGTAATTGTCCAATAGATTCTATGTGCACGGCAATCAGAGAAACTCTCTTAAACATCAGGTGTGGGGAGATCCATTGTTCTACAAGATTATCTCTCTTAACATTGCTTTGTTTGCAGACTTTCAGCAGTTTGAGATGGTATCCTGCTTGAAATGATCTGGATTTTTGTTTAAGATAACTGTCATTTCAGTTGGAGCAAAAAAGAAAGATAGAATATGATTTCTCTCATAGAAATTTTGACAATGTACATGACAGGTGCACTTAGCTGGATGTGAGACCTTGTCATTACCAGCTGCACAGACATGTTACATATGATTCCTGTGTCTGATATGTTACATGTGATTCTTGTGTCTTGTCTCCCTACAGTACAGCGGAAGGACTCAACCGCGGGGACTTGTCCAATGTCAGTGGCTGGCAGACCTTCCTGCAGGCCTTGGCCTATTTCCTGAAGATGTTTTTTGGCTCAGCAGCTCTGGGAACACTGACCGGCCTCATTTCAGCATTAATATCCTTTCTGCGGCTCATTTCCTCAATTCACTGCCCCCCCCCCCCCCCCCCCCTTCACTACACCAGATATTTCATTATAGCATAGCTGACACTAGCTATAGGCTGCTTCTCTCATATCAGTCTTGTCAGTTCCTCCGTTCCCCTTCTTACCCCTCTAATATGACTAAGGACTGCCCCTATCTTGCATGAAATAAAACTAAAGACTTCCCCCATCTTTTGTAAAATAAGACTAAGAACCGCGTCCATTTTGTGTAAGATAAGACTAAGGACTGTCCCCATCTTGTGTAAACTAAGACTAAAGACTATACCCATCTTGTATAACATAAGACTAGGGACCATCCCCATCTTGTATAACATAAGACTAGGGACCATCCCCATCTTGAATATGATGAGACTACGGACCATCCTCATCTTGTGTAGGATAAGACTAGGGGCCACCCCTATCTTGAATATGATGAGACTACAGACAATCCCCATCTTGTATAGTATGAGACTAGGGACCACCCCTATCTTGAATATGATGAGACTACAGACAATCCCCATCTTGTGTAGGATGAGACTAGGGACCACCCCCATCTTGTGTAGGATAAGACTGGGGACCATCCCCATATTGTATGAGATAAAACTGAGGACTATACCCATCTTGTGTAGGATAAGACTAGGGACCACCCCCATCTTGTGTAGGATAAGACTAGGGACCACCCCCATCTTGTGTAGGATAAGACTAGGGACCATCTCCATCTTGTCTAGAATAAGACTAGGGACCATCCCCATCTTGTGTAGGATAAGACTAGGGACCATCTTCATCTTGTGTAGGATAAGACTAGGGACCATCTTCATCTTGTGTAGGATAAGACTAGGGACCATCTCCATCTTGTCTAGAATAAGACTAGGAACCATCTCCATCTTGTGTAGGATAAGACTAGGGACCATCTTCATCTTGTGTAGGATAAGACTAGGGACCATCTCCATCTTGTGTAGGATAAGACTAGGGACCATCCCTATCTTGTGTAGGATAAGACTAGGGACCATCTCCATCTTGTGTAGGATAAGACTAGGGACCATCCCTATCTTGTGTAGGATAACACTAGAGACCATCCCTATCTTGTGTAGGATAAGACTAGGGACCATCCCCATATTGTGTAGGATAAGACTAGGGACCATCTCCATATTGTATAAGATAAAACTGAGGACTATACCCATCTTGTGTAGGATAAGACTAGGGACTAACCCCATCTTGTGTAGTAGATAAGACTAGGGACTATCTCCATCTTGTGTAGAATAGGACTAGGGACCATCCCCATCTTGTGTAGGATAAGACTAGGGACCATCTCCATCTTGTACAGGATAAGACTAGGGACCATCTCCATCTTGTGTAAGATAAGACTAGGGACCATCTCCATCTTGTGTAAGAGAAGACTAAGGAACATTCCCTTGTGTAAAACAAGACTAAGGACAGTCCCCAACTTGGATAAGTTAAGTCTAAGGTCCATCCCCATCTTGTATACCATTCCAATCACGTATAAGATAAGAACTGAGAATTGTCTAACTGTCTAAAAAGTCTAAAAAAAAAAACTATTTTTTGCTAGCCTTCTCACTTTGTGATATTTTTTTGTTTTTACTTCAGTCAAGATTCTCGCTATTTGAGCTGGTCTCTGTATTGTAGCTATCAAGATCGGTGTTTTCCTACAAATAGCTATGGAGGCCTTACCTGGACCTTATTGGTTTCTATGCAGAGCTGCACCAGATTTTGCACCCTCTAGTTTCAGTAAATCAACCCCTATGAGTCCCAGATTTCGAATTACAGGCATTGGTTCCTTCTGGGGATACTGGAAAAAGTCCCCCAGAACCATTAAGGGGTATAGGCTGAGGCAGGGGCAGACTGACAACTCATGGGGTCCCCGGGCAATAGGGGATCATGGGGCCCCTGTGTCCTTGCCCAAACGCAAAAAAGCCTATGAAAAAGGTACTAGGGGCATCTCATGGGGCCCCCTACTGACCCCGGGCCCTCGGGCAGTGCCCAGGTTTCCAAATGGTCAGTCCGCCCCTGGGCTGAGGTCATCTGTGGCAGTGGGACTGTCTTCTGTGTGTCTTAGCAAAGATAAGTTGCATCAACACAGTGGTAATGCAACTAGGCACAGTGTGAGGCAAGGCCTTAAGTGCTCAAACCGGGGCAGACTGGTGTCTGGAAGGTGCCACAAGGTAAAGCCCAATATCAAAGGCTCCATTTTGTGTAAGCTGCCTTTTTGCCATTGGTGTTTTGTAAACCATATTCTGTTGATGCACAGTATGTGTTGTATTTGTATAGGTGCATGCTTTGTATATGTGTTTTGTATACTTGTTTTTTGTCACAGTGTTTTGTACACTGTTGTGGCCTATCCTGCGTGTAGTTTTCCTCAGCTTGGTGTTCAGGTGTTGAAGCACCTGGATCTACGCAAGACTCCTTCCCTAGAATTTGGAATGATGATCATTTTTGCTTACCTCCCATATGGACTGGCTGAGGGTATTTCACTCTCTGGTGAGTCACTTGGGTGTGTCTGGGATAGTAAACACATGGGAGAAGATTGGTGGGGCACTATGTTTGGGTGATAAAAACATGGGAGGATAATGGAGGGGGGGGGGGGGGGATATATGCCCTTCATGAATCCAAAATATATTATGCTTTACTTTTGCTGTGGGGTGGGGAATGCCAGAAGTATGGGGTGTACTATACTGTGAGGTAGAGGATGTCAGGAGTATTGGATCAAGGGTTGGACTGTAATGGGTGGTAGTGGAGTATGGCAGCAATATGGGATCAGGGGGTTGGATTGTAATTGGGGATAGTGGGAGAATCGGGAGTATGGTGTCAGGGGGATGGATTGTAATAGGGAGTAGTGGGGATGTCAGGAGTATGGGGTCAGGGTGTTGGACTGTAATGGGTGGTAGTGGGGGATGTCAGGGAGTTGGACTGTAATGGGAAGTAGTAGGAGATGTCAGGAATATGGGGTCAGAGGGTTGGACTGCAATGGGGAGTAGTAGGGGATGTGATGAGTATGGGTCAGGGGGTTGGACTGTAATGGGGAGTAGTGGAGGATGTCAGGGAGTTGGACTGTAATGGGAAGTAGTAGGGGATGTCAGGAGTATGGGGTCAGGGAGTTAGACTGTAATGGGGAGTAGTAGGGAATGTGGGGAGTATGGGTCAGGGGGTTGGACTGTAATGGGGAGTAGTAGGGGATGTCAGGAATATGGAGTCACTGTAATGGGGAGTAGTGGGGGATGTCAGGAATATGGAGTCAGGGGGGTTGAACTGTAATGGGGAGTAGTAGGGAATGTGGGGAGTATGGGTCAGGGGGTTGAACTGTAATGGGGAGTAGTAGAGGATGTGATGAGTATGGGTCAGGGAGTTGGACTGTAATGAGTGGTAGTGGGGGTTGTCAGTGAGTTGGACTGTAATGAGAAGTAGTAGGGGATGTGATGAGTATGGGGTCAGGGGGTTGGACTGTAATGGGGAGTAGTAGGGGATGTCAGGAATATGGGGTTAGGGTGGTTGAACTGTAATGGGGAGTAGTAGAGGATGTGATGAGTATGGGTCAGGGGGTTGGACTGTAATGGGAAGAAGTAGGGGATGTCAGGGGTATGGGGTCAGAGGGTTGGACTGCAATGGGGAGAAGTAGGGGATGTGATGAGTATGGGTCGGGGGTTGGACTGTAATGGGTGGTAGTGGGGGTTGTCAGGGAGTTGGACTGTAATGGGAAGTAGTAGGGGATGTGATGAGTATGGGGTCAGGGGGTTGAACTGTAATGGGGAGTAGTTGGGGATGTGAGGCGTATGGGGTCAGGGGGTTGGACTGTAATGGGGAGTAGTAGGGGATGTCAGGAATATGGGGTCAGGGGGTTGGACTATAATGGGGAGTAGTAGGGGATGTCAGGAATATGGGGTCAGGGGGGTTGAACTGTAATGGGGAGTAGTGGGGGATGTGATGAGTATGGGTCAGGGGTTGGACTGTAACGTGGGGGGGTAGTAACATCCATTGTGATATTTGGATTCTGATTGGTGTGTCTTGTGTTTTGCAGGTATAATGGCAATTCTGTTTGCTGGTATTGTAATGTCTCATTATACTCATCACAACCTGTCCCCTGTCACCCAGATCCTCATGCAGCAAACCCTGAGAACTGTGGCCTTCTTGTGCGGTGAGTTACAGTGCCATCTACTAGCAGAGCAGTGTGTGTACATAGACTGTGTCCTGAGGGGTGCACATTCTACATACAGCACCCTCTACTGCCACAGCAATTTGTGTACATGGGCTGTGTTCTGAGGGATGCATAGCTTGGACACAACACTGTCTACTGGCAGACCAGTTTGTGTACAGCAGGGGTAGTCAACCTTAAAGAGGTGGAAATCTACCTGAACAACATAGGAGAAGTCAAAGATCTCCGGGGACAGTGTCACCTCCTCACACCCAATTTAAACCTCTAATTACTGTACTACCATTTCTCAATCTCGTGCATTGCATGGCAATCATGGGTTTAAATCAGGTGGTGAGGAGGCAACTTATCACCACCTCACTACCTGTCAAACACACATCATTTTTCAGAGGAGCACCAGTGCCTGCTGCACTTGTGAAGGAGCCTTACAATCGGCAATGGCACCCTTAGGACTCCTTTGCATGTAAAGGTGGTAAAACCTTGCTGTCGAGTTGCAATTTTACCATCTCCAGGCAGCAACAAAAAAGGTGTACACATGCCGCAGCAGGAATTAAACCCCCTGTTGCTTTTGGTGTGTGCTACCGCCTGCCAATCGGGACCAATTCAAATAAATGGGGCCATTCTAAGTGCCCCACAACTCCATGCTTGTGCGGGGTCCAAGGGGTTAAATCAGGTGGTGAGAAAACACAATGCTGCCTGTTTTAACCCCTTGTTTGCTGTACTGCACAAGTTGCAGGGCACTTGCAAAGCGGCCTCATGCACTTGAATGGGTGATCCTTCGCAGGTGCTACACCCACCAACCATGAAAGGGCATATAACTAAAGGGGGTGCCGTTGGGGCAGGGGTGTTAAAAACATAAAACTATGGTTGTTTTACCACCCCCAAAACTGCAAAAGTAAATGAACCCTTGCTGTTCTGAGCCCCCTATAAGACTGCTTTCACACTGTTCCACTGTGGTTTACCTGCACAGTAGGCTCGGCGCAGTGCATCTGCGACTTTCCTGAGTTAGCTGCGCTTTGCCATAGACTTCTATTATATCCTGCAGGTGGTGCACTTTCTGAAAGCGCACCAAACTTCCTGCATTCAGGAGTTTTTGGTGCGCTAATAGAAAGAGTACCAAGCCCAATATAATAGAAGTCTATGGCTAAGCGCAGCAAACCTGCAGGAAAACTGGTGCACTTTACTGTACCTGTGGTGTGGGTAAACGCAGCACATCAGTGTGAAAGCAGACCTGTACTATTATGCCCATATGTATTGCTTCACACTGACCTGAAGATCTCTCCATTCCTGCTGCTGACACCTCTCTGGAGACCGCTAGCGGGGATAAGAGTTGGAGTGCTGTTTGTATCACTCCGCATGGGACAGGAGTCGGCACTACAGAGGAGCCATCAGCTTATGCAGCTCTTGCTCCCTACTACAGCTGAACTCTGATGCTTTGGGATGGCAGGTCAGCAAGCCCAGACCCGTCACCTGGCCGTGATCTACTGGTAGATCTCAATCTACAGGTTGCTGACCCCCGGTGTAATGGAACTGTGACCTGAGGGGTGTTCAGCCTGGATACAGTGCCCTCTACTGGCAGAACAGTGTGAGTACACAGACTTTGTCCTGAACGTTGCATAGCTTGTATGCAACATCCTGTACCCGCAGAGTATTGAGCGCACATGTGGAATAGACTTCCTCAAGAGTTGGTTCTGGCCAGCTCAGTGGATTACTATAAAAAAAAGTCCTGGATTCTTTCCTGGATACACAGAATATAACTGGATACTAACATTTATAGGTAAAGTTGATCCAGGGAATATCCGATTGCCTCTCGGGGATCAGGAAGGAATTTGTTTCCCTGCAGGAGCAAATTGGATTATGCTTTGCTGGGTTTTTTTTTTGCCTTCCTCTGGGTCATCTGTGGGTATAGTATTATAACTTTTTTTTAATGGTTGAACTGGATGGACTTTTGTCTTTTTTCAGCCAAACTATGTAACTATGAACGTTAAATGTGTGCTGAGGGCTGTACAGCTTGGATATTGCGCCCTCTACTAGCAGAGCAGTGTGTGTACATCGACTGTGTCCTGGGAGGTGCAAAGCTTGGATATAGCACCTGTTACTGGCAGAGTAGTCTGTGTACATTTGCAGTGTCCTGTACAGAATACAGTCTGGATACAGCATTCTCTTATGACAGAGTAGTCTGCTTACATTTGCTGTGTCCTGAGAGGTGTACAGCCTGGATAGAGTACCCTCTACTGTCAGAGTAGTGTGTGTACATAGACTGTGTCATGAGGAGTGTACAGCCTGTATACAGCACTCTCTACTGGCAGAGCATTATGTGTACATGGACATTGTCATCAGGGCTTGATATGGCAAATTGTGTTACCGGTGTGTATTATCAGTGTGGATTGTATAATTAATGTGTTTATCATTTTTGTGTGTAGGGTTTTTTTTCGTGTCCAAAGTGTATATTCGTTCTGTGAAGTGTGGTGTTTATTATTGGTGTTGGCTGGATTTTTCCTGAGTGGTTAAATGCTGACTTCTCTTCTTCTTTCTCTCCAGAAACATGCGTCTTCGCCTTTCTCGGCCTTTCAATTTTCAGTTTCCCACACAAGTTTGAGATCTCATTTGTCATCTGGTGTATTGTAAGTATCTGTCACTGTGTGATCATTGTATATAGGGGGTTTATTGTGTGTCTGTTATGGAGGGTCACTTACACTGTTGTGTCATGGTGGAGGTCTGCTCCCCAGGGTTTCTTTGTATCAGGTTCGATGTCTCCTTCCCTGGGTTCCTCTGTGTGCCAGAATGGAAGTCTCTCCCCCATGATTCCTGTCAAAATGGAGGTCTCCTCCCCAGGGTTCCTCTGTGTGTGTCAGGATGGAGCTCTACTCCTCAGGGTTCATCTGTGTGTGTCAGGATGGAGTTCTCCTCCCCAGGGTTTCTCTGTGTGTGTCAGGATGGAGTTCTCCTCCCCAGGGTTTCTCTGTGTGTGTCAGGATGGAGTTCTACTCCTTAGGGTTCCTCTGTGTGTGTCAGGATGGAGTTCTCCTCCCCAGGGTTCCTCTGTGTGTGTGTCAGGGTGGAGTTCTACTCCTCACGGTTCCTCTGTGTGTGTCAGGATGGAGTTCTCCTCCCCAGGGTTCCTCTGTGTGTATCAGGATGAAGTTTTCCTCCCCAGGGTTCCTCTGTCTGTGTCAGGATAAAGTTCTACTCCTCAGGGTTTCTCTGTATCAGGACGGAGTTCTCCTCCCCAGGGTTCCTCTGTGTGTGTCAGGATGGAGTTCTCCTCACCAGGGTTCCTCTGTGTGTGTCAGGATTGAGTTATACTCCTCACGGTTCCTCTGTGTGTGTCAGGATGGAGTTCTATTCCTTACGGTTCCTCTGTGTGTGTCAGGATGGAGTTCTATTCCTTACGGTTCCTCTGTGTGTGTCAGGATGGAGTTCTACTCCTCAGGATTCCTCTGTGTGTGTGTCAGGGTGGAGTTCTCCTCCCCGGGGTTCTTCTGTCTGTGTCAGGGTAAAGCTCTACTCCTCAGGGTTCCTTTGTATCAGGACGGAGTTTTCCTCCCCTGGGTTCCTCTGTGTGTGTCAGGATGGAGTTCTCCTCCCCAGGGTTCCTCTGTCTGTGTCAGGATGGAGTTCTCCTCCCCAGAGTTCCTCTGTGTGTGTCAGGATGGAGTTCTACTCCTCAGGGTTCCTCTGTGTGTGTCAGTATGGAGTTCTGGTCCTCAGGGTTCCTCTGTGTGTGTGTGTCAGGATGGAGTTCTACTTCTTAGGGTTCCTCTGTGTGTGTCAGGATGGAGTTCTCCTCCCCAGGGTTCCTCTGTGTGTGTGTCAGGGTGGAGTTCTACTCCTCACGGTTCCTCTGTGTGTGTCAGGATGGAGTTCTCCTCACCAGGGTTCCTCTGTGTGTGTCAGGATTGAGTTATACTCCTCACGGTTCCTCTGTGTGTGTCAGGATGGAGTTCTATTCCTTACGGTTCCTCTGTGTGTGTCAGGATGGAGTTCTACTCCTCAGGATTCCTCTGTGTGTGTCAGGGTGGAGTTCTCCTCCCCGGGGTTCTTCTGTCTGTGTCAGGGTAAAGCTCTACTCCTCAGGGTTCCTTTGTATCAGGACGGAGTTTTCCTCCCCTGGGTTCCTCTGTGTGTGTCAGGATGGAGTTCTCCTCCCCAGGGTTCCTCTGTCTGTGTCAGGATGGAGTTCTCCTCCCCAGAGTTCCTCTGTGTGTGTCAGGATGGAGTTCTACTCCTCAGGGTTCCTCTGTGTGTGTCAGTATGGAGTTCTGGTCCTCAGGGTTCCTCTGTGTGTGTGTGTCAGGATGCAGTTCTACTTCTTAGGGTTCCTCTGTGTGTGTCAGGATGGAGTTCTCCTCCCCAGGGTTCCTCTGTGTGTGTGTCAGGGTGGAGTTCTACTTCTTAGGGTTCCTCTGTGTGTGTCAGGATGGAGTTCTCCTCCCCAGGGTTCCTCTGTGTGTGTGTCAGGGTGGAGTTCTACTCCTCACGGTTCCTCTGTGTGTGTCAGGATTGAGTTATACTCCTCACGGTTCCTCTGTGTGTGTCAGGATGGAGTTCTATTCCTTACGGTTCCTCTGTGTGTGTCAGGATGGAGTTCTACTCCTCAGGATTCCTCTCTGTGTGTCAGGGTGGAGTTCTCCTCCCCGGGTTCTTCTGTCTGTGTCAGGGTAAAGCTCTACTCCTCAGGGTTCCTTTGTATCAGGACGGAGTTTTCCTCCCCTGGGTTCCTCTGTGTGTGTCAGGATGGAGTTCTCCTCCCCAGGGTTCCTCTGTCTGTGTCAGGATGGAGTTCTCCTCCCCAGAGTTCCTCTGTGTGTGTCAGGATGGAGTTCTCCTCCCCAGGGTTCCTCTGTGTGTGTGTCAGGGTGGAGTTCTACTCCTCACGGTTCCTCTGTGTGTGTGTCAGGATGGAGTTCTCCTCCCCAGGGTTCCTCTGTGTGTGTGTCAGGGTGGAGTTCTCCTCCCCAGGGTTCCTCTGTGTGTGTGTCAGGATGGAGTTCTACTCCTCACGGTTCCTCTGTATGTGTCAGGATGGAGTTCTACTCCCCAGGGTTCTTCTGTGTGTATCAGGATGAAGTTTTCCTCCCCAGGGTTCCTCTGTGTGTGTCAGGATGGAGTTCTCCTCCCCAGGGTTCCTCTGTCTGTGTCAGGATAAAGTTCTACTCCTCAGGGTTCCTCTGTATCAGGACGTAGTTCTCCTTCCCAGGGTTCCTCTGTGTGTGTCAGGATGAAGTTCTCCTCCCCAGGGTTCCTCTGTGTGTGTCAGGATGGAGTTCTCCTCCCCAGGGTTCCTCTGTGTGTGTCAGTATGGACTTCTACTCCCGAGGGTTCCTTTGTGTGTGTCAGTATGGAGTTCTACTCCTCAAGGTTCCTTTGTGTGTGTCAGGATGGAGTTCTACTCCTCAGGATTCCTTTGTGTGTGTCAGGATGGAGTTCTCCTCCCCAGGGTTCATCTGTGTGTGTCAGGATGGAGTTCTCCCCAGGGTTCCTCTGTGTGTGTCAAGGTGGGGAGGCTGTCCTCCACAGGGTTCCTGTGTGTGTGTGTCAGGTTGGAGGTGTCTTCCCCAGGTTTCTTCTCTGTGTGTCAGGCTTCTCTGTGTGTCCTAGGGATCCTATGTATTGGTGTGGAGATGTTTTCTCCAGGGATTCCATGTGTCAGATTAGAGATCTCTCCCCCAAGGTTCCTGTTTGTGTCAGGATGGATGTCTCTTTCTTGGGGTTTTTCTGCATGTGTGTCAGAGCGTCTTGAATGTTTTTTTGGCTTCTCTCTAGAGCAGCGGTTCTCAACCTGTGGGTCACGACCCCTTTGGGGGTCGAACAACCCTTTCACAGGGGTCGCCTAAGACCATCGGAAAAAACATATTTCCGATGGTCTCAGGAACCGAGACACCGCTCCTCTATCTCCAGGTGGGTCCGCCCCCATGCAGATACGCCCACATACGAGTAAGAGAACAGTCAGCAGTGATGAGATCTGACCCCTCTGCCCCAGCCTATCATCTCCCACAACATCCACCCCGCCCATTGTCTGCACTGCTCCCCCAATCATCGCTGAGCTGCAACATCATCCCCAGCTCTAAATGCAGGACGGACTAGAACTTGACCAACCAGACGAGGTGACGTGTCAACGGGAAGCCCCAGTGAAGAAGTTTTTACGTCCTCAGATTGGGCGTGGCCTCTGTCAGGGAGCCGGCTACTTGGGGACTGGGTGGAGGAGGGGGGAGAGCAGATCCAAGATGGTGTCAGTGAAGAGGTGAGAGCGGGCCGTGTGTGAAGAGAGCTGGCAGCTCTGTGTGGTGGGGATGGGGGAGGTGTGACACCTTGTATGGCGGGAATGAGAAGAGCTGCTGCAGTTATTATTATTATTATTATTACTACGAGTTTATATAGCGCCAAAGGGTTTGCTCAGCGCTGTACAATAGGGGGGACAATACATGGCACAGTACAACAACAACAAACAACGTACGAGGGGTAAGAGGGCCCTACTCTTACGAGCTTACAATCTAGGAGGGAGGGGGTAAAGGTACAGTAGGAAGTGGCTGAGGGGGATGAAGTGGTGGGAGGAATGAGGGAGGATGGCCGTTAGGTGAGGGTGGGGTAGGCTTCCCTGAAGAGATGGGTTTTGAGGGAGCGCCTGAATGTGAATAGGGAAGGCGACAGTCTGATGGATTGGGGCAGTGAGTTCCAGAGGATGGGGGAGGACCTGGAGAAGTCCTGCAGTCGTGCATGGGAGGAGTTATGAAGTAGCAACAAAAATAATTTTATGGTTGGGGGTCACCACAATATGAGGAACTGTATTAAAGGGTTGCGGCATTAGGAAGGTTGAGAACCACTGCTCTAGAGTAACTCTTCCCCTTAATTCTGTGTAGCACAGTTGGAGACACACAACACACAAAATGTCCTAACAAGTATTGTGATCATGGCTCCTCATACAGCAGCTGTTGCCCCACCACCCATCCCCTGTACAAACAGTGTAATTCTGCATGTGCTGGACCTCCCCGCTTCCTGTACATGCAATAAAATACTGGTTGTGCCACACCACCCCACCCCATCCTCTGTACACACACACTATAACACCGGGTGTGCCCCACCATCCTATCCCCTGTACACACAATTTATTACCGGGTGTGATGCACCCCATTCCCCCATCCCCTGTACACATAATTTAATGCTGGGTGTGATGCACCCCTTTCCCCCATCCCCTGTACACATAATTTAATGCTGGGTGTGATGCACCCATTTCCTCCATCCCCTGTACACATAATTTAATGCTGGGTGTGATGCACCCCTTTCCCCCATCCCCTGTACACATTATTTAATGCTGGGTGTGTTTGGACGGGCCCGACATATTGATGCCCTGTGGCCTGGCATGCCTCTGTACGGATGATGTCAGCACTTAGTGCTGTCCTATCATTTGTTGATGAACTCATATAACCAAGCTAGAAAAAGTTCATATGAATTATGTCCATGGAGTTTATTGGTGACTGTTGGGTCTCTGACATGCTGCTCTTTATCGCTTAGTTTCTGGTGTTGCTGGGTCGAGCGGTCAATATATTTCCTTTGTCTTATCTGCTCAACTTCTTCCGTGATCACAAGATCACCCCAAAAATGATGTTCATCATGTGGTTCAGTGGTAAGTGGTCAGTTATCTTCTCCCAGTATGCTTTGTAATTTTCAGTAACGACCAAATAGAAATAAAAAAGCATATATCTGCGCTATTAATACCAAGCAGCTGGCACAAATAGGTAGTATACAACCTAAAAATGTTCAGTAAAGGTTGATAAAAAAGAAATGTCCCAATAGCACAACCTTTCTGGGGCTTCAGCAGGTTCCTGCCCCAGGAGGCACTGGCAGGTTGCTGTTTCAATGGTTCAGCCTCTTATGATCTCTGGTAGGTCCCTGTCCCAGGGGCTCAGCCTTTCTGGGGGTCCTGCAGCTCTTTTTCACAGACAGGATATCATATGTACTCTCCAGCGCCTCAGGATATGCACAGCCAAAAGCGAAGCCAAGGGTACCAGGACAGCGACAACCAAAGGAAATGCTTCAGGGGTGCAGCCCTCCTCAGACGGGGAAATCAGCCACTGGATAGAGAGAAAACAGGTGGCGCACACCTAGTGCATTATCCAAGGTTTATTGTAGGAGTGAAAGAATAATAAAAACATACAGACGAAGCATGTATCTAAAAAGCATAGAAAAATGACAATGGCCACAACGGCAGGCAAGGTGTTCTCACTGTCAGTGTGGTCCCTTTCCTCAGAGCTGATGACCAACCTCTGTTGCTGATGTATGATGAATGGAAAGTAGGAGCCTTGCTGTTGATGCCTGAGTGGGATGGTCAAATGGTCACTCAGGTATCAACAGCAAGGCTCCTACTTTCCATTCATCATACATCAGCAACAGAGGTTGGTCATCAGCTCTGAGGAAAGGGATTAGTCCCCGAAACACGTCAGCCATTTGACCGCACTGACAGTGAGAACACCTTGCCCGCCGTTGTGGCCATTGTCATTTTTCTATGCTTTTTAGATACATGCTTCGTCTGTGAGTATGTTTTTTTTATTCTTTCACTCCTACAATAAACCTTGGATAATGCACTAGGTGTGTGCGCCACCTGTTTTCTCTCTATCTTTTTCACAGACACTTAACTTTTCTGGGATTTTCTGCAAATCTCAGTAAAGGTCGATAAGAAATAAATATCCCAATAGCACAGCCTTTCTGGGACTCCAGCAGGTTCCTGTCCCAGAGGACTCTGGTGGATCCCTGTCCCAGGGGTTCTGCCCCTTTTGGGAACTGGTAGGTCCCTGTCCCAGGGGCTTAGACTATAAGAAGGTCCCGAAGCTCCTTGTCCCTGGGCTAAACCATTCTGGGGCTCTGCAGATCTCACTACCCTGGCCATGCCTACATATTAGAGCCTTTTAGATTTCTATGGAGCTGCAGTGACACAGGCATGGCCAGGAGAATGAGATTTGCGGCTCTGGATGTAAACAGTCATTGGGAGCCACTGCTGTTGGATCAAGGTAAGTATACATCTGTGTTGTATCAAAGTGCACTTAACCTTTATTGAATGTAGGGAGCATGAGAAGGGAAGTAGGAAGCAGCAGATTTGAATATTTTGAATATTTTTAATATTGAAAGTAAAGAAACCTTATTTATTTATTTGAATTTTGGACTTTTTTACCTTTATAAAATGAAACAACGCCACCAACAGAAAGCTCTGTCTCAAAAAATTATATAATTAATGAGTATTATTAATGAGTTATTGTCAGTCAAACTATACCAGCACTGAAAACTGGACTGAAAGAATAGTTTGTTTTTATTTTCGTTTTTATCGCCCCCTTCCCACTTACAGGGGAGGGGTTATGCGATAGGCGGCACCTTTGATACACATATTTAGTAGGGCACAAACCTTGTTGGCTTTCGCTCTGAGGAACGGGATACGTCCCTGAAATGCGTCAGCAGGCCGACCTCACCACCAATCATGTACGCTGCCATCATGTTGGGCCATCTCAGTGGTTTTACAGGCTTTTATATGCATTTCATTTTGTGAGTATGTTTTTCATTTTTACATTTTCAATAAACCTTGGATAGTGCGCTAGGTGGCTGTTTCTTTTTCCAGCACTGAAAACTGGCCTGCTAATGAAGGGGTATTGCAGACTATTACTCAAGTAGTTAAAAAGGTTCTGTCACTTTGCTCAGTTGTTGTCTTACCAACCCAATTATACTGTCACTGACAGCTCGGATCCCCACTGGCAATTGGGTATCAATCAGTGTGGTACCACATCATGTAATTGCTTTTTTGGATTTGACATCAAGAAAAACATTTAAAAAATGCAAAACACGTCAAAAATCGCAGCAACATCACGGGTAAAATCTCAGCAAAATCGGAGGTAAACTCACTGGTAAAATAGCGGCAAAATCCCAGGTAAAATTGAGTTTTCGGTGGCAATTATCAGCCCCTTTTTTTCCAATCCCGATAAATGCCGATAACACGCTTTTTGGTGGCTGATATATGGGTGCATCCCTAGTATGTATAGTATATACACTGTTACTAGTGGAGGAGGTGTAGAGACTCCTAGCTGAAGCTATGGGAGGCAGGACAGACCCAGAGTGTCCTGAGCTGTCACTCTTAGAACACTGCCTGGGTGGGAGGTACAGACCAGGAGTCTGACTCCACCCACTACAGTGAGCAGGGAGTAAATACATCCCTGCTTCCTAGAGGAAGAACTACAGACGGGATGTGCCAGGACCAGTGGCTGGCGGAATAGGAGGAATAGCAGCCACCGGTCTTAAAAACAGGAAACCACAGGGGAATAACAGTTTTATTTAAGAATCATCAGTCTATTGCAGAGCAACTACTTAGTGAACCAGAAGATGAATGACATATTCAGTGAAGGTAGGAGGTCAGCAACAAGGACATGGGAATTTTTTTTTGCCTGGAGTTCTGCTTTAAGTGAACCAGAGGCATGTGTGATATACTGTATGTTTCCATGTGTGCTGTGACATGTTGACTTGCTATGGTCTGTCCTATTGACCTTGTGCTATGTTCTTCCAGGATTGCGGGGGGCCATTCCCTATGCCTTGAGTCTTCACTTGGAGCTGGAGCCAATGGAGAAACGTCAGCTGATTGGAACAACGACCATCATCATTGTGCTGTTCACCATCCTCCTCCTGGGGGGTGGCACCATGCCTCTTATCCGACTAATAGACTATGAGGACTCCAAAGCTCGGAAGAAGAACAAGAAGGATGTTAATCTCAGCAAGACTGAGAAAATGGTGAGTGGGCGTTCATCTGTCCTGACCTCTACACCTCTGACCTTGGTCTGTAATTGGGGAGAATGATTCCTAAATCTGTGAGATTGTGGTTCTCTGTGCCTCACGCCTTCTCAACAGCAATTAGACGATTCAGTCAACCAATGGAACAAAGAGGTCATGACTGTCTTTGGGGACGGAGGTACAGGAGTTTCGAGTTTTTGTTGGGGAGGCAGTCCCAGCTCTCATTGCAGTAGGGATTCTGAGAAAGAGATCCTGGTTCTCATTGGGAAAAGCTGTGCCTGGTCTGATTACATGGGGCAGAGCTGTGCCTGATGTAATTTCATGAGGCAGAGCTGTGCCTGATGTGATGTCATGGGGCAGAGCTGATCCTGGGGTGATGTCATGAGGCAGAGCTGTGCCTGGGGTGATGTCATGAGGCAGAGCTGTGCTTCAAGTGATGTCATGAGGCAGAGCTGTGCCTGGGGTGATACCATGGGCCACAACTGTGCCTGGTGTGAAGTCATGAGACAGAACTGTGCCTGGGGTGATGTAATGGGCCAGAGCTGTGCCTGGTGTGATGTCATGAAGCAGAGCTGTGCCTGGTGTGAAGTCATGAGACAGAGCTGTGCCTGGTGTGAAGTCATGAGGCAGAGCTGTGCCTGGTGTGAAGTCATGAGGCAGAGCTGTGCCTGGTGTGAAGTCATGAGGCAGAGCTGTGCCTGGTGTGAAGTCATGAGGCAGAGCTGTGCCTGGTGTGAAGTCATGAGGCAGAGCTGTGCCTGGTGTGAAGTCATGAGGCAGAGCTGTGCCTGGTGTGAAGTCATGAGGCAGAGCTGTGCCTGGTGTGAAGTCATGAGACAGAGCTGTGCCTGGTGTGAAGTCATGAGGCAGATCTGTGCCTGGTGTGAAGTCATGAGGCAGAGCTGTGCCTGGTGTGAAGTCATGAGGCAGAGCTGTGCCTGGTGTAATGTCATGAGGCAGAGCTGTGCCTGGTGTAATGTCATGAGGCAGAGCTGTGCCTGGTGTAATGTCATGAGGCAGAGCTGTGCCTGGTGTAATGTCATGAGGCAGAGCTGTGCCTGGTGTGATGTCATGAGACAGCTGTGCCTAGTGTGATGTCATGGGCCAGAGCTGTGCCTGGGGTAATGTCAGGGGCCAAAGCTGTGCCTGGGGTGGTGTCATGGGCCAGAGCTGTGCCTGGGGTGGTGTCATGGGCCAGAGCTGTGCCTTGGGTGGTGTCATGGGGAAGAGCTGTGCCTGGGGTGATGTCATGGGGAAGAGCTGTGCCTGGGGTGATGTCATGGGGCGGATCTTTACCCGGTGTGTAGAGAAGTGTGTATGATGCTGACCTCCCACAGGGGCTTACACTGCTTTCTGTTTCAGGGGAACACGGTGGAGTCGGAACACCTCTCCGAGCTGACGGAGGAGGAGTATGAGGCCCATTACATTAAAGAACACAATCTGAAAGGCTTCATGTGGCTTGACGCCAAATATCTCAACCCGTTGTTCACTCGCAGGCTGACGCAGGAGGTAACATAGCTCTGCCAGACTGACTGTTACTCCCTGTGTGCCCCCAGTTCACACTGGTAGCATTGTATTAGTATAAATATAGTACTAGGATGGGAAGGTGACTTTGTATATCGTGTTAGGGAGCAGAAGGTGCCATTCAGCTACCCCAGGACTGCACCATATATAGGCGACAGAAGATTCACAACGCTTCTGCCACCTGCTGGCCAAAGAGCAAATCTGATTTTTTTTACAGATATTAATCATCATTTATAATTTGATTTTTACAGGACTTTTTTATAGTACCAGCTTTACGTGCTGTATGTTCACTTCAGTCCCTGCCTTCGAAAAGTTACAGTCTAAGATTCCTATGTCACATGTAATCATACACACATACACACATACTAGAGCCAATTTAGACAGGAGCCAGTTAACTACCTGCATGTCTTTGGAATTGGGAAGGAAACTGTAATACTCAGGCAAAACCCATGCAAGCACAGGGAGAAACGTCATGCAGATAGTATTCTGCCTGGGATTTGAACTGAGGACCCCAATTGTGCAAGGCGGAAGTGATAACTACATTGTTTGTTTTTAATTTAGGATCTTCATCATGGCCGCATACAGATGAAAAGTCTGACCAACAAGTGGTATGAAGAGGTCCGCCAAGGGCCATCTGGGTCAGAGGACGATGAGCATGAGCTGTTATAGCCAGAGTTTCCATGCTGGCAGTTGGTGCAGTGTTGACTTGATGAATGCAGAGCGGCTTGTCCAGGTGACACTGCTTACCTGTCTTTGGCGTGTTCACCATGGGGGGTGCTTTTTCTTTGGGCTGCCCACACTATAAACAAGTCTCTCCATCGTCGTGTTTTCTCTGCAGTTTCCTGATAATGTGATATTATGGAGTCCTGGCTGGCTGAGGCTCCACCAATGCTTGACCACATCCTGACCACATAATCTTTATATGTTGGAGAAATCCCAGCCTGTGCTGGTTATCAGTGACAATATCCTGAATATCAACAATTAGAAGCCGTCTCCAGAAAATGGATTGTGGAATTCAGTGCTCACTGACCTCTGACAGTACTACTGATTAGGAGCCGCTAATTGCATGGGTCAGAGTAGGCAGACTCTCAGGTAATTGTATGGGCCAGGGAGACTCTCAGGTGCCACTACAACTGGATTTTGTCTTCAACGTTAGATTTGTTGATTTGTAAATACAAGAATGCACTTCGAAAAATGTTTATTTAGGAATTAAAAAGTGTGGGCTATTATTATTTAATAATTAGGCTCCTTCCTTTGGTGCTGGGCTACTCCTAATCCGTTCTGTAGGAAATGCACAGGGCCAGAAATGAATGAAGAGGGCACACAGCCGTAGTGGTGGAACCATTTGGGAATAGGGGAACTGATATTTGTGGCAGTCACGAGGCTGGTGGGGGTTTGAGATTCAGGTAGAGGGAATGTGATCTAGGGGAGGAGTTTCATATAGAAGATAATGAGATGGATACCATCAGGGCTGATGTAGCTGGTGAGGTAGGCAGTGAAGCTACAGATTTCACAGGATCCTCCACTGAGGGACACAGGAAGTCATATACCATTGGGTTATATTGCCGCCTAGAGGAGACTTGGAAAAATCTATAAACCAGCCAAGAAAAAACACCTCTTATTCCCAGCATGTCTTAGCTTTTTTGCTACGGTCTTAGGATGATGGTCATCTTCTTGTCAGCTCCGCTGGGGAAAATTCCAAGCTGATTTTCTTTTCTTTTTTTTTTTTTATGCTTACATTTTCTCTACTGTTCTTTTATATTTCTTCAGTTAAGATTGTGCAGCACATCACTGCTTGAGCTGATTTCTATGATAGCAGCTATTCTGATTGCCTTTTCATCAACCTAGCTTTGGAGGAACATAGTCAGACCCTGCTGGACTGGACCTTGCAGGAATAGTCTGGAAGTGACTTTAAGCCACACTAGGCCCTTTTCAGACTTCATTCTGGTACCAAGTTAGCAATGGAGCTCTTTTCAGGTCCAGAATCGCTGGCATTGCCTCAGTATTTTACTGCATCATTACCTCAGAAATCCAAGAGACCATTTTCAACCTTATCAATATGGTACATTCTACTCTTCATCTGGAGGATCAGCCTGCTGTCTCCAGTCTAGGGTCTTTCAGAGGTTCCACAGCTGCAAAGATCTTCCTGTTGCACCCATTTTTTTTTTTTATTTGAGGCACCCCATTTGGTCATGGACTCCCCCTAGGTGCTTGTTTGATCTATTTCCATTTTGAAAGGATTTTTTTATACAGTGGTTGCTAACCCCTGTGTGTCTTCCAGCGCTCTGCCTTATTAACCACTACCAGTCCAGACACTTTCACCCCCTTCCTGCCCAGGCCAATTTTCAGCTTTCAGTGCTATACCACTTTGAATGACAATTCCACGGTCATGCAACACTGTGCCCATATGAATTTTGTAGCATTTTTTTGAGACAGATAAAACTTTATTTTGGTGGTATTTATTAACCACTGGGATTTTTATTTTTTTTGCTATATAAATGAAAAAGTCAAAACATTTTGAAAAAAAAAGTGTTTTTTCTTTAAAAAAATAAAATAAAAATAAAATTTTGCAAATAAATAATATTTCATCATACATCTTGGCCAAAATGTATTCAGTTATCTTTTTAGTAAAAAAAAAAGTAACCCAAATTAGTTTATAACCAAAAATTATAATTTTTCAAAAATGTTTTTGACATTTTTATTTTTTATATATTATTATGTATGGTTTTATTTTTAACCTACTGTCACCCTAGAAGTACAGTGTCACCATGGTGACACTGTCTGTACTACTTGTGGGGGGTGATGAAGATTTTTTTTTTTTTTTTTACACTGGTTTTACACCCATAAAGGCTGTAAAAGCAATCATTTCTCCTTCTCTCTGGCTGCATTCTTGCAGCCATTGAGAAATACTGTGCGAGCTGTGATTGGTCACAGCTTGTCACATGGTACAAGGCTTTTGTTCATAGCCTTGTACCATGTGACCACTGTGATCATTCACAGATTTCACACGTAGTAAGCAATGATGACAGAAGTGGCATCTTGCTAACTACTATCCATGTGATCACTGATTGGCCAATAAGTGATCACATGATCAAGACCTCACACAGAGGTCCCGTACAGCGATCGGTGTTCCGCTGTGTCTGGAGGACACAGCAGGCACCAGATTGTGGTGCTGCGCGCTCCCAGGGAGCGCACACAGGCGGGGAATGGGGAGGACATTTATAAAGGGCGACCCGCTCCTGCAATGCTCCTGTCCAGCCGTTTATATACATGGGCCGGACGGGCAGTGGTTAAGATAGCAGTAAAGGACATTCTTACCTTCAAAGATTCTACTGAGAATCAGCTAGAAGCCTGCCTGAAAACCTAGTTTTTTCGCTGATGGGCTTTACTCATTGCCCTATTCTAGCTATGATCTTAATCTGTCAAACTGGTGGAATTTAAAGCAGAACTCTACTCATCTCAGTTCCAGCTATACAGCATCCCTCTTCTCCCCGCCCGGCTATTGACATCTTCAAACAGCCACCTTCCGTGTCTCAATCGATGTCTGCTGCCATTAGCCAGGTGGGGGGGGAGACATCACTCCCACGCATACGTGGGAGTTCAGTCAGTTTCATCATTGCCAAATTTGTACAGTGAGCTGCGAATGCGCTGCTCACTGTACAGGGCGGACAGGCAGGTAAGTACCTTTAATGCATATGAGACAAAACAAGTCTCTTTTGCATTACAATTCCTGCCTGTCTGCCATTTTTTTTATTATTTTAGCTAAACTTCCACTTTAAGTCCTTTAAAAGGAATCTTTCCACCGTAACAGTGGACCCTTTCCTAATAGAGCACATGGAACAGATTTGTAGAGCCTTGTGACTTCCTGTGTCCCTCAATAGACAACAAATGAAATAAGATTTTCGTATTAAATATTCAACAAAATCCTCCTGCGATTAAAGGAAGTGTAACCTAAAATAAAGCTGCTGAAACTCTAAACTGATACCCAAACAGTGTATACAAATAATAAAATATAGTGCAGCGCTTCCCCAAATGAATTAAATAAATAAAAAAAATTAAATATATATATATATATATATAAAAAAATATATATATATATATATATATGTGTGTGTATGTATGTATGTGTGTGTGTGTGTATATATATATATATACACACACACAATACATAAAGTACCCAAAATAATGTGACCCTCGGTCACCTAGGTGACCTATTAAAGTGATATTGCAGAATATGAATAAATGACAAAGACCCCTATGTATTTGGGGATAAAACACAAAAGTGTGATAGGTGCCAAATGTGACTACACTACAAACAGTAGTTTTTTGTAGTGTGGTCACATTTGGCACCTATCACTTTTGTATTTTATCCCCGAATACATAGGGGTCTTTGTCATTTATTCATATTGTGGAATATCACTTTATTAGGTCACCTAGGTGACCGAGGGTCACATTATTTTGGGTACTTTATGTATTGTGAAGATTTTCGTATTGCAGCTTCATTGCTGGGCACAGGTTCCTCCGCTCTCTGTTTATATTAATTTTGGTACTGCTTGTTACACACTGAAACATGAGAAGGGACTATCCTTTTTCTGGCCTACAAAGTTTGATGGTATCCAACCTTCCTGTAGGGGGCAGTATCACTTGACAGTTGACTATTTCTCTGAGTGGTTTCCAAGAAAATGATTTTATGGTGAGTACAAAAATTCTATTTTTATTATTTTATAATAACGACTGTGGGCGATCCTCATGGAGGTTATATTGTATGATAAAAAACAGTCTGTTGGGGGGGGGGCACTGCCGATCATTTTGTGGATCACACATTCTGTGCCAAATCCGACGGCTGACAATGTGATAATTTGTATTTATTGACATTCATGATTGTGTCTGATGTTATTTAATGTCTTTGAAGTAAGTGAATGTTTTCAGAGTTTTCTAAAATAAAACATATCACTGAGAGAAGCGTCTTCCATGGTTTTATGTTTCTCTCGGCACTGGAGGACAATGATCGCTAATTCAGATTTCTTTCAGGGAGTTCCCTCATAATCACTGCCAGAATTCCCAGATATTGAAGTGAGGTGGAGAGTGGTGACGGGTCAAAGCCGGAACATAATAGCTGAGGTTGGGGATTTTTTCATGAGAAATATGAGTTTTTGTTTGTGACGTTTCTCCGGACGATTCTCGTCATATTCTGATAGTCAAGTGGAAATGGTGCCAGGCTGGTAGAATCCACTGAAATCCATTATTGTCAATGGATGGGACTTTCCATAGGGTTTTTATTCAATCTGTCTTTGATTACTGCCAATCTGTCTTCTTTTCTCTGTTTTGCTAGACGTGGTAAATTGGGGGAAGATTTGGAGAACATTTACAAAGAAAGAAAAAGTGACACATGTAGATTGCACCATGTTAGTGCCCATACCAAATCACCCGACCTTCTGCTCCACCTACATCTGCCCAAACCTCTGCTTCAGCTGCATATACCCAACTCTCTGCTCCAGCCCCACACCCATTCCCCTGCCCTTTTCCACACTTTACATCTATATTTCATCTGGGGGCCCTCAACTGTCCCTTCGGGATTCCTGTCTGTCCTGTCAGAGCCCCCATTCATCCTTTTGAGCTCCCTATTTACCTCTCAGGGCCACCATCTATCCTTTTATTTATTTAATATT